CATCAGACTCACCAGGAGGGCTTGTCAGAACACAGACTTCAAGCCAGGGGTGGTGGCTCTTGCCTATAATCCCAGCACTTTGGAGAATCTCTTGAGCCAGGAGTTCAAGACCAGCCTGGGCAACATAGAGAGACCTTGTCTCTACAAAAAACAAAAACAGAAAAACTAGCCAGGCGTGTTGGCATGTGCCTGTAGTCCCAGGTACTCGGGAGGCTGAGGCAGAAGGATTACCTGAGTCCGGGAAGTCAAGGCTGCAGTAAGCCATTATCATGCCACTGCATGCGACTAAGTAAGACCCTGACTCAAGCAACAACAACACAAAACAAAACAAAACCCACAGACTTTGGACTCCCAACCTAAGTTTCTGATTCAGGGAGCCTGAGTGGGGCCTGAGAATCCACTGTTCTAACAAGGTACCAGGTGCTGCTGATGCTCATGACCAAGGAACCACATTTGGGGAACCTGCATAGGGTTCCTTCTAGGGTTCTAGGCTTATAAATAAACTATATTCCAATTTTGAAAATATCTAAATAAAAGATAGACTCCTCTAGCTCAAAACACAGACTCAGCCCTCTCTCCCAACAGTTTGGGAGGAATTAACAAAGCTAACACGTCAACAGAAGTTAAATTGTCTCCCTTCCATTCCATTCTCACTTCCATTCCATGGTCCAGCACTTGGCCATGGGAGAGGGTTGTGAGATCAATAGTGCTCAGAGGCCAGTGAGTTTCAACAAGTAATTCCTCCTGGGGCAGCTGACTGCATTTGAAGCTTCAGAAGAAGGTTAAAGGGAAAGGTTTAAGCCTGGTAGGGCATTCTGAAATCTCCAGGCATTCTGCCCAAAGGATAACACTGTTGGATGTCAACACAACTTATCCTACCTTACAGATTCAACCTGATCATCGGTGAGTTCCTGACAAGGACGCAGTACCCCAGCATGGTCCCCTGCACTTGATTCCATGCCTTTGTTCATGCTGTTCCCTTGTTCAGAATACCTTTCCTGGTCCTCTCCACTCTGTAAGCCCTAATTTGTCCATCATGACCAAGATGAAATCTGACTATTCTCCACGAAAATTGAATATCCACTCAACCAACATTGAGTATCTTTTTCTGTTTATCTCGGTTAATGGGGACACTTGATCATTGTTATCTAATTTTTTCTCGTCCGTTGATTTATTCACTCAACAAATCGTTGTTAGGCGTCCTCCAACGTGCTAGGCATTAGAGTAGGTTTTAGGAATAGAATCATAGGGAAAAACAGACCTGGATTCTGTTCTAATAAAGAAAGATCCATTAACCAAATAATTGTACTGGTGGGAGTACATTTTCATACTCAGTAGAGTAGCCAAAAGGAAAGGCATATGGTTTTATGAGAAGGAATAAGAAAGAAACCCGATGTAGACTTGGGGATTGAGGTCAGGGTGGACTTTCTGAGAAAGTATAATTCGAGCTAAGATTTGAAAAATGTCCAGCACTTGGCTAGATGAAGAGGGAGTGGGTGGGGAAGCTCTCCACATGGGGGGAACAGCATGTGCAAAGGTTCAGTGGTGGAAGGGAGCATGGCAGGTTCAAGGAACTAAATTCCTGGGGAGGAAAAGATGGCAAAAGACAGCGTAAGGCTGGAGACAAACTGTGAAGAGCCCTATGGGTCTTGTTAATGGCTTTGATTTTTAACCTGGGAGCACTAGGATGCCCTCAAAGATTTTAAACAATGGGATCGTGGGGTCAGAATTACATTTTGAAAAGTTCTTTCTGCTGCAGCTGTGTGGAGAATGGACAAGAGTGGAAGCAGGGAGGCAAGTTGGGAGACTGCTGGAATAGTTCAGAAGACAGGTATGGCCTCTTGCGCTAGGGTGATGATAGTGGAACCAGAGGAAAATAGATGGAGTTCAGAAAGGACTGGGAGGTAAACTGGCAGGATGGCAGTCAGCTAAGGGAGAGGGAGGAGTCAAGGGCAAAGGAATGTGGTCTTACGAGAATGTGTAAGAAAGGAGCCCGATATAGACTGAGAGACTGAGGTGAGGGCGAACTTTCTGAGAATGTGTAGTTTAAGCCGAACTCTGAAGGACACCCAGTAGGGCCTGGCTAGATGAAGAGGAGGGGAGTAGCTTTCAGTGGTGAGGAGAGAGGGCAGCATGTACAAAGGTCCTGCAGTGAGAGCATGGCAGGTCCAAGGAACAGTATCCAGTTTGGAGGCAATCACGTGGAGTTCTCTTTGAACACAGACTTGTGCGTGGAGCAGGCAACTGATCAGGATCTCAGGCCATCTGAACTGCAGAAAGTCACTGGGAGTCCACAAGGGCAGGGTGGATGAGGCTGTCAAGAGAAAGAGTACGTGTGAGAGAAGGAATGGGCATCTTCTCAGACTAGGTCATAAGCTTCTGAAGGGCGGGGCCTTTTGAAGAAGAATAGTCACTTTCCACTTGCTTTACTAAACTCTGGCGTGGCCATGTGCTCTTTGTGCTATGGCCACTGCCATGTTTCTCCTAAGCTTGGACCCCCCTCCTACCTCAGGGAAGTGAATCTCCCTTCTCTCTCTCTCTCTCTCTCTCTCTCTATCTCTCTCTCTCTAATTTACTTTCTAAATAAACTATCTTTTCCAATCTAAAAAAAAAAAGTTAAATTGTGTTGAAACTTTTAAAAATAAACTTGTTTGTTGAGGTACAACATACTCATCTGTACACGAGCAGCTCGTAGTATATAGCTTGAATTATCGCAGAGGGAGCAGCCCTTGCCACTACCACTCAGGTCCAGAAATGCAAACTTGCTGTTGCTGGGCTATTTCTTTAATTTGTTTATTTATCCACGTAAGAATGTTATTTATGGCTAGCATGAGACAAGGATCAGCGTTGATTGTATTTCCGTTTTTTATTCTCCCTGGGGCAGTAAACCCAGTTAAGATGTGGGATGGGATAGATGAGAGGTTTGCCCTTCTTTGTAAAGGAAGGGGGATTGGGAAAAGGACAACTTGCACCTCTGTCATCCGTCAATTCTAGAAAAGTGGGTTTTGTTTGTTTTAAGTCAGGGTCTCACTTTGTCTCCCAGGCTATAGTGCAGTGGCACAATCACAGATCACCGCAGCCTCAACCTCCTTCTGTCTCGGCCTCCTAAGTAGCTGGGACCATAGGTACATACCACCACACCTGGCTACTTTTTTGATATTTTGTAGAGTCAAGATCTTGCTATGTTGCCCAGGCTGATGTTAAAATTCTGGGCTCAAGCAACTCTACCCCTCAGCCTCCCAAAGTTCTGGGACTACAGGCGTGAGCCACTGCACCCAGCCAAGTTCTAGAAAAGAGTTTCTATGGAAGTTGAGGATCTGGGACTTGAATCTCTTAAAACTTGGCTGTGTGTATAGTGCTTACAAAGTCCTCGTGTGCTCCCAGGGGTTCATACCCCAGTTTGAAGTCCACTAAAGAACCTGAATGGACTCAAGTCAGACTTAAACAGCCTCTCCAAATGTCCTAGCTCATGTCCCTAAGAGAAAGAATCTGATTGGCCTGACTGATTTTTTGGTGCCAGCTTGTGTCAAAAGCTTCTGGCCAGGCTATCACCCCTCTGCACAGATGTTTTCCTGAGCAGGGACCACAAGGTGACAGGTTAACCTGACAGACAAACTAACATGTCCAGTAGTCTTTCCTTGAAACCTGCTCCAGTTCTGTTCCTCTGTTGGAAATAAGCTCTTCGGTGTCTGAATTCTCTTCTCTTCTCTGTCTTCTCTCCCCTTCCCCCTCCCCCTCCCTCCTTCCCTCTCTCTCTCTCTCTACAGGGTCCCACTATGTTGCCTAAGCTGGTCTCAAATTACTGAGCTCAAGTGATCCTCCTGCCTCAGCCTCCAACGTGGCTGGGACCACAAGGCGCATGCCACCACACTCAGCTTCTCTTACTTTTGCCATTTTATTACATACATCTCCTACCGCTTGTACTGTAGTTATTCTTGTGAGTCGTCACCTTTTCTATCTGCTCATTAAGAGTCATTTCCACCGGGCTCGGTGGCTCAGCCTGTAATCCCGCGCCTTTGGGAGGCTGAAGTGAGTGGATTGCCTGAGCCCGCGGGTTCGAGACCCGCCTGGGCAACTTGGCGAGACCTCATCTCTACAATAAATCAAAAATCAACTGGGCGTGGTAGCGCATGCCTGTAGTTCCAGCTACTTGGAAGACTGAGGTGGAAGGATCGCCAGAGCCCAGCAGGTCGAGGCTGCGGTGGCCGGGAGCGGCCACTGCATTCCAGTCTGGGCGACAGAGTGAGACTCCAACTAAAAAAAAAAAAAAGAGAGTCATTTCCTAGCATTGTGCCTTACAGTTAGTAGGTGTCTAATAAATTTTTTTCAACAGATAAATTGATTAACGCATGTCTTAAACGTCTTTGTATTTCCCATAGGTCATAGATTAGTGTTAGGCAGGATCCCAGAAGAATGGCTGAATTAATCAATGAGCAAAACAATGAATTAACAAATCGATGAACTACTGAGGCATTGAACAATGGTTTCAAAGTAAAAGAGTTCACATCTCACCTAAGAATCAAGATCTTCAGAATCAGTGTAAAAGGTGTGGAGTGTATATGACACTGGCTATTTCTAATTAAGTCTCGTGTGTGTGTGTGTGTGTGTGTGTGTGTGTGTGTGTGTGTGTGTGTGTGTGTGTGTGTATTAGAGATGGGGTCTCACTCTTTGTCACCCAGGAGTGCAGTGGAGTGCAGTGCATAATTATAGCTCACTGCAGCTTCAAACTCCTGGGTTCAAGTAATCTTCCTACCTCAGCCTCCTGAGTAGCTGAGACAACAGGTACACACCACCACACCCAGCCAATTTAAAAAAAAAAAAGTAGAGATGGGATCTTGCTATATTGTCCAGACTCCTAACCTCAAACGATCCTCCCACCTCAGCCACCCGAATAGCTGGGATTATTTATTCATTTTTATAACTGATCACGGTAGGTATCAGTTGCTTATCACAAAACATCCAAATAAATCCTTACCTGTCTTTTGCATCTTGTCTTACAGGTGTGAGCGGCGTCTCCTCACCACTGTGGTGTTTGGCTCGTACCTCAGCCCGGGTGAGGATGTAAAACGCCCTTCTCTGCACACGAGTGGTGCAGGCCGACGGGAACACCTGGCTCCAGCCACATTCACAGACATGTCAGCCGTGGAGTAGTACGGACACTTTCTATCAGCTTCTCAGGGTTTCAGTCCTTTTGGGTTTGTTTCATTTACCTTTTTTTATGGTTTTGTGGCTGGACGTTCACAACCAAGGCAGACACCATGGGGGATCAACAACTGTACAAGAGCAACCACGTGGCCCACGGTGGTGAGAACCTTTTCTACCAACAGTCACCCCTTGGCGTCCACAGTGGGCTGAACCACAACTATGGGAATACAGTCACAGGGGGTGGAATGGATGCCCCCCAGGCCTCGCCCATCTCCCCCCACTTCCCTCAAGATACACGGGATGGCCTGGGCTTGCCTGTTGGCTCCAAAAACCTTGGCCAAATGGATACCTCGAGGCAGGGAGGATGGGGAGGCCATGCAGGGCCTGGAAATCATGTCCAGCTTCGTGGCAACCTGGCCAACTCAAACATGATGTGGGGGGCACCAGCCCAGGCTGAGCCCACCGATGGCTACCAGTACACCTACTCCCAGGCCAGCGAGATCCGGACCCAGAAGCTTACCAGCGGTGTCCTACACAAGCTGGACTCTTTCACCCAGGTGTTTGCCAACCAAAACCTGCGAATTCAGGTTAACAATATGGCCCAGGTGCTGCACACCCAGTCGGCAGTGATGGACGGAGCCCCCGACAGTGCCCTCCGCCAGCTGCTGTCTCAGAAGCCCATGGAGCCCGCCGCACCGGCCATCCCTTCCCGCTACCAGCAGGTGCCCCAGCAGCCTCACCCTGCTTTCACTGGCGGGCTGTCCAAACCGGCTCTCCAGGTGGGACAGCACCCCACCCAAGGGCACCTGTATTACGACTACCAGCAGCCAGTGGCTCAGGTGCCAGTGCAGGGAGGACAGACGCTGCAGGCCCCGCAGATGCTGTCACAGCACATGCCACAGATGCAGCCGCACCAGTATTACCCTCAGCAACCCCAGCAGCAGGCCGGGCAGCAGCGCATCTCCATGCAAGAAATCCAGTCGCAGCCGCAGCAGATTCGCCAGCCGCAGCCGCAGCCGCAGCCACAGCTGCAACTCCAGCAGCGGCAGGGTTCAATGCAGATAGCTCAGTATTACCAGTCCCAACCCATGATGCAGCACCTGCAAGAGCAGCAGCAGCAGCAAATGCACCTGCAGCCCCCTTCTTATCACAGGGACCCTCACCAGTATGCCCCGGAGCAGGCGCATGCCATGCAGCTGATTCAGCTGGGTTCCGTGCCCCAGTACTACTACCAGGAGCCCCAGCAGCCCTATAGCCACCCCCTGTACCAGCAGAGCCACCTGCCCCAGCACCAGCCACGGGAGGACAGTCAACTGAAGACTTACTCTAGCGACAGGCAGGCCCAGGCCGTGCTGAGCTCCCACGGGGACCTGGGGCCTCCTGACCCAGGAATGGGAGATGCAGCAAGCTCGGACCTGACCCGGGGCAGCAGTGCCCTCCCGCACCGACCCCTCCTATCCCCCAGTGGGATCCACCTCAACAACATGGGACCTCAGCATCAGCAGCTGTCTCCCAGTGCCATGTGGCCCCAGGTATTCTCCCAGTGAAAGTTTCTCCCACCTTCTCAGTGTGCTACAGGGTCAGCCAGGGCTGAGTCTTTGCAGGGCCCAGTCCTCTCCCCAGCCCCCTCAATCCTGTTCTTTATCCACCCCCCAAACATTAATCCACGTGTGTCAGACATTGTCTATGCCAGGCATTTGGAATACAGAATTGATCTTGATTCAGTCCTTTGGCCACAGAGCTTATCATCTTACTAAGGAGTTGGCCAGAATACCATATCATGTCTTAAATGGCTCAGGCGATGGTCAAGACCTTGAGTTGGGTGCCAGGGACCACAAGGTGGGGTATCTCAGTTCCCTCGGATCTGTATCCTCGGGCAGTCTCCCTGAAATTGGTCCCCCTTCAGGAGGGAGACCACATTATGTCAGCATTTCTCAAAGCATATTGCTCAGAACAGCGGTTCCACAGAATGGTTAATGGATATTGCCAGGGAAACAATGGGTTCTCTGGATAAATAAATTTGGGGCTTTCTTAAAGTAAAGCAGTTTGCTATAGTGCAGGGACCTTGTGGCCTTATGGCAATATGCATCATGAATCTCCCAAAGCAGATGCCACATATAGATAAAAAGCTTAGCTGCCCACAGGATCCATGCTACTAAAGTGAATAAGCAAAACTGTCTTGTATGAAACATTAGGGAATGGTGGTGACTGTGGTAGACTAGAAAGCAAATGCCCCATCCAATGACATTCTCATTCAGGGTTTTTTTTTAAAAAAAACAATCTAGCCAAGCAAAACATATTTGCAGGCCAGATTCAGGTTATGTGCTATGGTTAGTTAACCCTTGATTAGTTTTATTTGACCACAAAACAGCCTATTATGTGCTGGGCACTGTTCATACCTTGGCATGTTCTAAGTGCTAGAGTCATGTAACAACAGGATCTGGGGAGGAGGAGACCCCAGATAGGAACTGGTTGGGTGGAGACTAGGCTGAAGGCCGGAGGTGAACTTCTCCTTGACCTTGTTTTGTCTGGGGCTCAGATCCGGTAGTAACTGGAAGCCTTTGTGAATATAAGAATGAGATGACTTGGCCAAGCCTTTTAAAAAAGAGTTCCAGGCTGGGCATGGTGGCTCACGTCTGTAATCCCAGCACTTTGGGAGACCAAGGTGGGAAGATTGCTTGAGTCCAGGAGTTCAAGACCAGCAAGACCTTGTCTCTATTTATTTATTTATTTTTAAGCTGAATATTTATAGTTAACTATTTTTTTTAAAAAAAATAACAATCTCAGCAAGAGGTCTGGCATGATGCTATATCATCCAACTCTTCTTTTGGGGCCCTATGGAATGGAGGCATCTGTGCACTTGGGAGAACTGGAAGGAATGTGTTGAAGCGTTGTGCCCACAGGGACCTGTGACTGACAGCAGTCCAGGAGTGGGTGGTCCTGAGCCAAGGAACAATGAAGGAAAAGATGTCAGGAAGAGCAAGGGTGTGCATGGACAAGAGTCGGGTCAAATGAGATGGACAGTGGGAAGCATTCTGGAAGGGTAGACCCTGGTGTTCCCACTGCTCAAGGATTCCTCCCTTCAGAAACACATCTTTTTTCTCTTCTTTTTTTCGGTGTCCTGCTTGGCTCAAAATTAGATGCACCTACCTGATGGGAGAGCCCAGCCAGGGTCCCCTGAGTCAAGGTAGGATGAGTGGAAGCTTGTTGGTATTTTGGGAGACTGGGAGGTTTTCCTGGGTTGTCTCTCATGATTCATTTCTAAATTCAAAGTCAATCCCTCAAACTGTACAGAAATAATAATAGCAGCTGTTGTGTTTGAGCCCTTACTGTGTGCTAGGCACTATAAATTGTGTGCAGTAAAGTAGTGCCATGAGGATGGGTATGATTACCATGCACCTGTGCATGGTAAGCACTCAATAATTGTTGGACTATTATTATTATTTTACAAATGAGACACATCAACTAAGTAACAGTGCTGGGATTGACTCCAAAGCCCGTGTTCTGTCCACTGTCCATGCATTCAGTCAGTGAGTATTTATTGAGTGCCTACTGTGTGCCAAGCATAGAACTAAGTTTTGAGAATGCAGCAGTGAATAGTACAGATTTGCTTTCTTCTCTCATGGACCTGATAAATGAGAGATTTAGCCAGAACCTGATAAACTGCTGAAATGTGCAATATGGAGCCTGCCCCAGGGAGCTTGCATGAGTGTTTCCAAAGGAAGGCTTTTGAAGGAGGTGGGCTCAGGCAGATCCTGGGTGGGTAATGAGACAGAGTTGGGAAAAACCCAGTACCTGAATGCCTGGAATGAAGAAGGACATTTTGTCAAATTCTTGCATGTCTTTGAGAAAGCCTTTTCCCACTCTGAGCCTCAGTTTTCCATCTGTAAATCGGGCTTCATTCTCTGAAGGGCACTGGGGTGATACAGGTGGGGCCATGGATACGGGAGCATTGGATGAATGAAATAGGTTCGTAGTGAGTATGAGGTCTTCTTTCTGATTCCCCTTCCTCAATGTGTGTGTCCTCTCATTTGGCCCTACCCCTGAGCAGTGGCCAATCCAAAGGAGCATTTGGGGAGCAGTTTGATGCCAAGAACAAGCTGACGTGCTCCATCTGCCTGAAAGAGTTCAAGAACCTGCCTGCCCTGAACGGCCACATGCGGTCCCACGGGGGAATGAGGGCCTCCCCCAACCTCAAGCAGGTTAGCAGGAGCCAATCTCCGGTCCTTACTAAGTCGTGTGCTGCTTGCTTTGCTTTGCCGCCTTCAGACTGAGAGTGATGTGTGCCCCATGTGGGTACCCGGCGAGGCACCGTCCTCTCTTGACAGGAATGCTTAAGCTTTGATGCTGGGAGTCAACCAGGGCACACAGCCCCCGCATTCCCAGCTTTATGAAGAAGGGTCAAAGACAGAGGCTCTGGACAGCCTTTTAGGGGATCCCAGCCTCTCTGCCCCCTGGAGAAGACAGCAAAGGAAAACATGCCAATACATATTTACTATTAACGTCTGCTGCTTGATGCACCCAAAACCAGAGCCACTGGGGCCTTCCAGATCAGTTGTCAATGGCCAGAGAAAGCTAAGTGGCCATCAGGCTCTCAGCCAGAATTTTTTATTTACCACAATGCATAGTATTTGGCTCCAGCATCCGTAGGCCTGTAAAAACCCTCTGGGTTATCCCAGTAGAACATCCAGAGGGTGAACTAGCCATGAGTTTTAGAGTTAGATTAAAGTTTAAAGAATTTTCTCAGAATTATTTGAATATTATTGATCTTCATTTAATTCTATGGGATTAACTCTCCGTTAACCAAAATTTTGGATTACTCTGTCTCCTAGCCTTGCCAGATTTTTTTTTAATTGTCTTCACTTGTTAAAAGTAGCATGTTTTGCATTTCCAATGTGGTTTTCTAACCTGAAAAAAAAATTAGGATGGAATGTCTATTTCCATTTAACAAACGAGTAAACTGAGGCTCACAGAATTATAAACTCCTACACAAGATCACACTTTTTTTTTAACAGATTACAAGTCCACGACCCTTTCTTTAAAAGCAATGAAAATTTTTTTTAAATTAAAAAATAATAATAATTGAATATACCAGTGATACGTGGTCAAGGTTGTTTAGTACAAAATAGAGTATGTGGCCTTGTCCACCGCCACCTGGCATCCCTCTGGCCAGTGGACTCAGGGTTGCAGGAAGGAACTCACCCTGCAGTGTTTCTGTCACATCACCCACACTTGATGTCCTAGAACCTTTCAGGAAAAGCACAGTGTATCCCCCAAGGAGAGCTGATTTCAGCCTAGGATCAAAGCCTTTATTGTCTGTGTAGGAGGAAGGAGAGAAGGTCCCGCCGCCTCCACCTCAGCCGCCACTGCCGCCTCCGCCTCCGCCGCCACCACAGCTCCCTCCCGAGGCAGAAAGCCTCACGCCTATGGTCATGCCCGTGTCTGTCCCTGTCAAGCTTCTCCCGCCCAAGCCCAGCTCTCAGGGGTTCACCAGCAGCGCCGTTGCCGCCCCCTCCGCCAGAGACAAGCCAGCCAGCTCGATGTCGGACGACGAGATGCCTGTGCTCGTGAGGATGACCCTCTCTCCCCCACACTCACCCCAAGGGGCTGCCCCCTGCACGCCTGCTGTGAGTTGCTGCTCTGCCCCGCCTGCCTGGGTGGGGACATCCCTTTGCTTTCTTGGAGATGGGGCAGCTCTCCCAGTCATTGACCTGAGCTCACACGTGGCTTGGGTTCTCAGGGCTGAGTCTCCATGGCCACCCTGGAAACTCCATCCTCGTCCACACTGCCCAGTACCCATTTAATGCCTGTTACTCTGCCAGGCTAATGGTCTGGGTTAGATTCTGAGAGACTTGAAGGTATTCCCAGGTCTAAACAGAGATGATAATTCAGCTGGTAATAACTGATACAACCATACCAGTTATTAAAATATGGAAGTACTCTGTCCCAGATAATAAACAGCTGTTTCCCTGGGCCCTGGCCCCTTTCCTGGGATCTCCAGACCTCCCCAGATCCAGCAACCAAAGGGGTTACCCCTGGTACAGCAGGGCCCCCAGGCAGTCACCCTGGCTTCCATTCTGATGACCAGCCTAACCAGATGCTCAACATTTTCACTATCATATCTACTTAAATACCCTCGGGAACCTAATTTAGTAGGTTCCCAACGAAGTTCCTTTGACAGCCACTCACCCGCAGTCTCAAGAAAGCAAAGGGATTTGAGTTTCTCACTCACTGTTCTCTCTCAGAATCTAAGTGCATCACCCAAGCAGCTTGGCTTGGCTCTAGGGCAGTGTTCTCCTTTCTCTCTTTCTCTCTCTCCCCTCCCCCACCATGCCCCTTGGGGAATTCGTGACTTGTGTGGTTGCCTATATCTGACCTACCCCCTCCCCACAAAGTGGTGAGTTGGGTCATATTTGTCCTTAGAGAACATGTGGCTAGGGGTAGGGCTTAGAAAATCCAGGAGCCAGGAAGGTAGGGATGGGCAAGGATAATTAAGAGAATTTATAGCATAATGGCTCATGCCTATAATCAGGAGGATCATTTGAGCCCAGGAATTTGTGACCAACCTGGGCAACCATAGCAATATCTCGTTTCTACAAAAAAATCCAAAATAGCTGGGCATAGTGGAGCACGCCTTTAGTCCCAGCTAATTGGGAGGCTGAGGTGAAAGGATCACCTTAGCCCAGGAGGTCAAGGCTGCGGTGAGCCATGATCCTGCCACTGCACTCCAGCTTGGGTGACAGAGTGAGACCCTGATTCAAAAAAAAGAGAGAACTAGAAACGTCCAGAAAGAAGCTTTATGGTTCTCTGTGTACTATCAAGGCCTCAGAAGAAAAGAGACTGACGGAGACGCTCTGGGGGGTGTAGATTCTCATAAACTGGCAGGACTTGGGGCCAGCAACAGAGAGATGAAATGGCATATCCAAGCTCCCTTTTTGCCCAGAGAAGTTCCTGAATTGGTGGGAAAAACATGGATTCTGCCCTTGGGGAACTGTCAGCCAAGGGTTCCTACTCACACAGAAGCCAGAGACTCAGGCAACACACATATCCCCTGCCCATTCAAGATGGTGAGAGAAAGGCAAGGGCAGACAAGAAACTGATGCCCTGGGTGTGGCTGGAGAGGAATACACCTGGGTAGCTAAGGTGATTAGGGACTGGGGAGGGGCCAGGGAGTTTGCGAGTAGTTTGCGCAGGAGATCATCATCATTAGGGAGTTCTGAGCAGGGTTTTGAAAGAAAGGATGAACTTGGCTTAACAGAAAGGTGAGAGAGACTGTGGCAGCGTGGAGATAGGCTGAACCGGAAGCACGTAGGTGGAATGAGTGAATGGGAATAAGATTCTGGCACTTGATGTAAAGAAATTAAAACGTCCAGGAAGGAGCCCTGGGTTCTAATCCTAGCTTGGCTTCTAGCTGGCTGGGAGGAAGACAGCTAAGATCCTCCCCCCATCAGAAGCTCTGCTTCCTCCCCTGACTTTGTGAGGGTGAGACTCATCGGTGGGTCTCATCCTTCTCTGTGAGCAGGAGCATTTTAAAGCTCACAGTACTTGGCCCCGCCCCCAGAAGGACTGAATAGCTTGGTGGGGTGTAGAACACGGTAAATGATTCCTCTCAAATGACATCCAGCTGTGGCATTCTGTGTGGCTTTTCTGACCCTGTGGCTCAGCACCTCGACTGGAGGATCAGAAAATTCAGGTTTAGAGCTGGAGTAGCAGGACAGGGAGCTGGAGGAGAGGGAGCCCCAAAGAGGCTCTGCGATCAAAGGTCTGGATTCCAGTGCAGAGCTGAGATCACATAAGGTCTGCATGTACTTAGACGAACACATCAGTTACCGGGAACAGGGTGGAACACTTGAGGATGGTTCCCCAGCTGGGGGCTATGGGTTTCCATCCCCTTTTCTCCTCAGGCCCCTCTCTCCGCCTCAGCCTCCGGCACTGGGAGCCCTCTGGTGGGAAGAGGAGGCAGGTTGAGCACTCTGGCCTAAGGAGATCCCCCTGGGGGCAAGGTAGGGGCTGGGAACCGGAGGGAAGAACCTGGGATTCTCCACGTTGTCCTCCTTTCCCCACCTCTCAGCCTCCCTAGACTCCCTTCCTAGGGGTTGGGAAGGCACCTTGGAAGACAAGGGAGCTGAGGGAGAAACAGGAGAGGGCAGAGCCTGAAATGCTGGAGGCAAGATTCACCCAGAGAGGAGGAGCCCCCTGGGGCATGTCACATGGCCTGGAGGCAGCTGGTCATGTGACCATGACCAGCCCTTCCCATCATCCCCTGCGGCCTCCTGCTCAGGCGCCACCTGGGCACAGGACTCTCCAAGAACTGCAGCCGTGACAGGCCACTGGGCTGCAGGGCCTGGGAGGGCACCACAGACTGCCCAGAACCTTCCACAGGTACCCCTGCCGCCTCTCCAGCCACACCCAGGTCTCCACTCTTCTGGGCTGATGCTCGCACACCACCCAAGTTCGTTTCTGTTTGGCTTTGGCATGCCCTGCTTATCTATTTACGTGCATATGTTTACTTATTAGCATATATGTATCCATGTGGCAGACCTTCCTTCCAGACTATGCTTGGTTCCGCTGCCATGAAAGTAAACTAACTCTGCTGACAGGAAGCCAGCCTAGGAGAAGCAGGGATTGCTACAAATAAGCCACCAGTACTGGGAGGAGGAGCCAGGGGTGGTGAGGGGGTAGGTTAAGCAGACCCCTTTTGAGGGGAGCACATTGAAGGGGCCTTCAGGATGGTAGACGGCTCTGCCCCAGCCTGAAAGTGACCCAGGAGAGCCCACTGTGGGTCCCGGCCCTGGGAGCCTTAGGCCTAAGCCCCTTCTCCCGGACCCACAGCCTCTGTTCCAGCTTCCCTGAAGAGATGATTCTGTCCCCTTCTCAGAACATGTGTTATCTGTTCTTGGTGTCTGTCCTCCGGGAGCAGCGGGAAATTAAAGAGCCCGCTCAGCTGGATTCCACTCAGACAGATGGGAATGTAGTGATAAGCGATAAAGAATTCGAATGTATTACATCTTGCCTGCCCACGATCCCTGTCACCCCCAGCTCTTTTCAGACGTTAAGGATTTCTCTTCCAAAACCAAACTTTTCTGCCTAGTCAAGCCACCAGAACTCTCCTTGCCTGAAATGGATGTGGTCAGAGTGGGAGGGTGTCAAGAGGAAGGGAGTCCCCTTGAGAACAGAAGATCCCCTGCCCTGAAGCCTTGGCAATGGCCTGTGGGGGGTGGGGAGGTAGCTTTGGGATTTGAATCAGATCATTCTTCCGGTTTTAGGAACTCCCCAGGAAGCACCAGCCCAGCGTGCCCAAAGCCGAGGAGCCCCTCAAGACCGTGCAAGAGAAGAAGAAGTTCCGGCACCGGCCAGAGCCACTCTTCATCCCGCCACCGCCCTCCTACAACCCGAACCCCGCCTCCTCCTACTCGGGCGCCACCCTGTACCAGAGCCAGCTGCGCTCCCCACGCGTCCTCGGGGACCACCTGCTCCTGGACCCCACCCACGAGCTGCCCCCCTACACTCCCCCGCCCATGCTGAGCCCGGTGCGCCAGGGCTCGGGGCTCTTCAGCAATGTCCTCATCTCTGGGCACGGCCCGGGCGCCCACCCTCAGCTGCCCCTCACGCCCTTAACGCCGACGCCGCGGGTGCTGCTGTGCCGCTCCAGTGAGTCACCCCTTTCGCCTGGTGGGCTCTGGAGAGTCATCCCTTGTCTATGGTGGGGGCTGCCCGGGGAGGCCTCATTTTCTTTAGGTCTCTTTTATCCCAGACTTTTGTGGAGTTTCTACTGTGTGCACCAGACACGGTGCTAGATGCTAAGAAAGACTTGAGCGAGATATAGGCCTTATCTACAAGGGAATCTGTCTAATTGGGAGACAGATGCCTAAAGGGATCACTAGTCTCTGTAGGATAACAGTTGAAGTGAGCCGCCCGCTATCTAAGACGGCACCATGATAGTGCAAGACACAGAGTAGTATTCAGTAGATGTACAAACAGGATTAGGCATTATATGCCAGATCAAGCCTTGAGGGCTTAGCCCACGCTTTATAAAAATCAAGAATGAAGAGGCCTTCAGTCAGGATCTCTTTCTGGAGCAAGAAGAGTTGCATAGTAGTCACACAGCTTAGCAGAGCAGTGTGGGGCAGCTGACTTCTCACTCTGTGTGAGAAATGGGTAACCCTAAGCCACTTAGCACCACACTCAGCTGAGCTGGAGACTATTGGAGGTAACTCTGGCAGGGATGAGCCCTGTTAGGACTGATTAGGTAACTGCTCGTTTGCTTTTGTTTCTTCACTACCCCATCCCTGTTGACCAGTGACCTCTGGATTTTGTATTTCAGACAGCATCGATGGCAGCAATGTGACAGTCACCCCAGGGCCTGGAGAGCAGACCGTAGACATTGAACCGTAAGGAAAAGCCAATTATTCTTTAGATTCTGCTTCTTGAGAAATGTAGTTAGTACTTCTGTAGTCAGAGTACGACACCAAGCAGGAAGTTGTGGAAATTGTAGGGTCATGATTATTTCTTGAGTCCTATTGTTTCCCTATACAGTAGTTGTCAGTATTTCAAGGCCTTTGCCAAAGATTAAATGGATAGTAAAAGCATGAAACCCTATATTTGGAGAGCATAGTGTCCGTATCTCTGGCTCCACAGGCTGGCTGTCACCACGTGCCTCCACATCCCCAGTGACATTGAGGCATCTCCCTCTGGTGGCTAACTCTCCAGAGGTTCCTTGTGAATGTCCTGACCTCCCCCATCCCTTCTGTCAGATTCTTGACCAGTCCTCCAAATGGGTTTGTTAAAGACTTGAATTATGCATGGGTAGTGGGAGGTGTCATGCAGAGAAGAGTGGCCATCTTCATAGATAAGCACAGAAATGAGGCCGGGGGTAGAGTGATTAGTAAATTGAATCAGGAATCAGAAAACCTGAGTTCTGACACCATGTGGTTACTTGTAAGTCTTCTAGGCTTTAGTTGAGTCATACTAATCAGAATAGTTATTACCGCCTTGCTTACATCACAGATCTGTGAGGTTCAGATGGGATAATGTATTAATATGTGAAAGTGGTCTGAAAGAGATTTTTTTTTAATGAAATATATGCTTTGTATTTGTCCCCTTTTTTCCTGGTTAAATGGTACTATCGGCCATGTTCAGGGCAGCTATTCTTTTGGAATTAGCCACCCTCCATCTCCCAGTTACAAGGCAGGCAGACTGTTCCCTTGCTCCCCAGACATCTTTCCCCAATCTTAAAGCTGTTCCTTATCCCAGTGAAAAAGCCATGCCTGGAATCTTAGGGTCACACTGTGAGGAAATGCCCCCACATTCTTCTTACAGAAGGAATTGGTTTCCTTCTTTTTCAAGTTCCTGACAGTTGCCCTTAGCCTGGGCTATCAAACTGAAGACCACACTGTTGTTTTTCTTTTTGTCATTAAAGACGCATCAACATTGGCTTGAGATTCCAAGCAGAAATCCCAGAACTCCAGGATGTCTCTGCCCTGGCCCAGGACACACACAAGGCCACACTGGTGTGGAAGCCCTGGCCAGAGCTGGAAAACCACGACCTCCAGCAAAGAGGTATTGGCACATGGCATGAGCGGGGCAGGAGAGGCTTGATTCTCTCACTGAGATGACCGGCCCCAGGATTGGTGTGTTTTTCCATGATATTGAGCTCTGTCTGATGCAGTGGCTTCTCCTTGTTCCCAACAGTAGAGAATCTTCTCAATCTTTGCTGTTCAAGTGCGTTGCCAGGTGGAGGGACCAATTCTGAATTTGCTTTGCACTCCCTGTTTGAGGCCAAAGGCGATGTGATGGTAAGGAACTGTGAAAAGATGCCTTCACAAAATTCTGAAGAGCATTTTCCCGGGTTTCAGTATTGTCCCATGTACTATACAACCAGTTCTTAAGATGATGACCACGATGCCTCCATGTTCCTTGTCTCAATGAGGAGGTCAGGACTTAAACGCTTGCAGGAAAAAAAAAATCTCCAGTTTGACTTCTGTTTACTCATCTGTTCTAAATTACAACTGTGAGCACATCTGTCCTAGGAAATTAGAGTCTCTGTTTTCTCGGTTTGCTTTTGACATCAGAAAACTGAGTCTCTAGGAATGGAGGTAGAGAGCCTTACTGAAATAGTTGATCTAAAATAGTCTATCATACTCTGCTGGTAATTCTTCCCTACTATAGAAATCAACCAAAGTTTGATGTTTATAGAATTCTTTTCTTCCCTAACCAAAGTGAAGTATTTACTGTGCACCAACAGGTTCCATTCTTCCACTTTTAACACAGTTCTGTAGATGTCACCAAACCAGAGCCTTAGTGCCATCTTCCCAGAATCAGAGCTAACAATTTACCTACTCAGCTTGGACTTCTGGCCTGATCACTCAATCACTAGCTGCAGTTGCCCCTTTCTATAAATACATAGTTCTTCCTGGTACCAGGTCTAGCTGTCTGCATTTTGATTTTATGAAAAAGTGAAAAGAAACAAATGTCTCAATACTATGATACCCTTCAAATATTTTCTAGAATGTTGAAAAACTATCCTTCACCTTTTGAGGTCAGAGCTGCAGAGTAGCACTTCTCGAACTTTTAATGTACACACAAATCACCTGGGGAATCTTGTTAAAATTCAGATTCTGAGGGGTCAGGCATTGTGGCTCACACCTGTAATCCCAGCACTCTAGGAGGCCGAGGCAGGTGGATTGCTTGAGCACAGGATTTTGAGACCAGTGTGACCTCGTCTCTACAGAAAATCAAAAAATTAGCTGGGCGTGGTGGCATACGCCTGCAGTCCCACCTACTCAGAAGGCTGAGGCAAAATGGTCACCTGAGCCCAGGAGGTTGAGACCACAGTGAGCTGTGATCATGCCACTGCACTCCAGCCTGGGTGACAGAATGAGACTCCGACTTAAAAAAAAAAAAATGTGGATTCTGATTCAAGCAATCCAGGTGAGATCCAGGTTGTTCATTTTGGCCAGCTTCTAGCTGCTGCAGGTGCTGCAGGTCATGGACCACACTTGGAGTAGCAAGATTCTAGGTCTTGCTCTGCCGCTAAACCATGCACTGCTCAACTCTGCCTGCAGCATTTTTTTCAAAGCCAACAAAGTTGATTTGAAAGGATTTATTTAGCTAGGCTCTCTGGAAGGATAGTGTGAGGTACAGTTATTACTAATGCAGCTGTTTATGTTCAATTGTAATAAAACGTGATTTTTCTGTAAACAGTTACAAATCACCCACTTATTTCCTCAGAGACCTTCTCCCAGAAACTCAGCTTCCTTTTAGAGGATGCCATATCCATCTCTCTGGAGTTGGTGGTCCCTCACCAAGAAAGAGTCAAGTCTTGGCTATCTTCCTGTGACATGACCAACTGGCTCCAGGCATGGGTGGGGAGGCTTGTCAGAACTATGAATCTTGGCTGAGTTTGGTGGCTCACACCTATAATCCCAACACTTTGAGAGGCTGAGGCAAAAGGATTTCTTGAGCCTAGGAATTCAAGACCAGCCTGGGCAACATAGCAAGACCTTGACTTTACACAAATTATTAGCAAGGCATGGTGGCATGTGTCTGTAGTCCCATCTACTCAGGAAACTGAGGTGGAAGGATCACCTGAGCCTAGGATGTTGCAGCTTCTCTGAGCCATGATTGTGCCTCTGTGCTCCAGCCTGGGCAGCAGAGTGAGACCCTGACTCAAGAAATAAAAAAGAGCTACAAGTTTTGTTGGGTGCAAAACAGAAAGGAAACCCCTTTCCCTCTGGTTTTCCTTCCAGCGTCCTGCCCCCAGTCTCTACAGTGTTAGCCTCTTTCCCCCTTTGAGTAGACGGCCTCCCTGGAACATGTGGCCCTATTACTGACTCTTGCCTTTTCTGTCCCTTGGGTCTACAGGCTGCTCTGGAAATGCTGCTGCTGCGGAAACCAGTCAGGTTAAAATGTCATCCTTTAGCAAATTACCACTATGCCGGTAGGTTGCCATGAGCCCTGTGCCCTGTTGCTTCCTGAGAGTGGGCTGCTTGCATGTTGGGTTGTGTCACTTTTCAGTGATCAGTAATGCTGGTTCTGTCCTGATTGCCACCTGTGATCTCAAGGCCTGCTGGGGCAGAGCTGGTGAGGGCAGTTGTGTCTGCTGTCTTGGCACTGTCAGCATTGTCTGTGTAAGCTCCTGCCCCTCCTGGGTGTTCCAGGACCTGGGTGATAGCGAACAGTGCCCTACACATATGGCAGTGAGATGAATGCATGAGACCAGAAAGAGCCACTGCAGGGAACAGCACAGAGTTGATGATGATAAGCCCTGGCTTTGGAATCAATAGCCATGGTTCAATCATTGACTAAGTCCCTTGGCCTTGTGCAGCCTTGATTTTCTTACCTGTAAAAGGGGTTTGTATTCTATCCTTGTAGCATTTTTGTGAAGATTAGAAATAGTATATGTAGCCCGATGCCTGGCACATCCTAATGGCAGTTATTATTCATTTATTTAACAATTATTTACTGAATGCTTACTGTGTACAAGGAACTTGCTAAGCACTAAGACACCACAGTGACCATGACAGACATAGCTCTAGTCCTACCTCATGCAATTTGGAGTGTGAGGAGAAGGAAGTTATTAAATAATGGATCACACAAACGGCAGGAGAAAAACTTCTTACCCGTAGGGTCCGAGAGTGTGTGGATTAATAACAGCATGACAATAAGAGGGAAGTAGAAGACACCTTTGAGATTTGAATGGAGTGAGAATCATGAAGAGAGAAGGAAACGAGCTGAGGAGTCTAAGATATGACCAGTGAAGCCGAGGTTGACATCTCCACTTCCATTAACTCTGGTAGACCTGTCCCTTCTGAGGAAACCTACAAACCTTCCTTGGTTCTCTATTTCAGAGGAGGCTGAATCCTCCAATGTCCCTCGATTTTTAATCCTTTGATGGTTTCTAGACAGGTGCTAACTACATGAATGGGCTTAGGGACCTCATGATACCTTTTCCAGCCCTAGGTTCAGGCAGCCAGATGTGGCCTAAAGTGAGAGCTTCTTTACTCATACCTGCGTGTTCTCAGGAGCTGTCTCCTACTGTCATTTGCCTCTCTTACTGTGCTCTTCCTCTCTTGTGAGTCGGCTTTCCTGCCTGTCATCCCAAGATAGAAAGACCTCGAAGCCCCACACCTAAGCTTAACAAGCCCAGAGTGCCTGCCTGTGGGTCACACTCAGCACTCGTGGAAGTAGGCCAGCACAAAATGGCCACGTGGGATAAGATATCCATCGTTTAACCAGTGGTCTCAAGGAGCCAGTTTCTTGATGTTGTCTCTATCATTTCCTGCTTGGTGTCTGCCCCGAGTGTGTCTGCCCCGAGTGTGGGTAGAAAGATGTAGGAGTTCTCCCTGATCTGCCATGGAAACAGTTCAGCCCTCTCTCTTCATTCCCAGCATCATCTGCTTCCCGTTAAACCCTCCTGGAGCCTGCCTCGAGCTTCTTTGCATAGTGAGTGGGTTGGCTAAAAGCTTCCCCACCATTGCTGTGAGATGCTACTGCCCTCAGCCCCCAAGGTGACTGGGCTGGTCAGTACCTCTGGGCTGGTCAACTCCAGCCATGAGCAGCTTCATCTGGGACGCAGTCCCCTCCAGATCTTCCCAGTGTGCCAGACAAGTGTTACTATCTTTATGTGCATCATAACACTAAAAAGGGTAGAAAACTGTGGACTTGAAGCCACACACCCCCCCCAAACAAAACAAATCAAAAACACTAAAATATTACCCCAAACTTTGAAACTAGAAGACCCTAAACTCTGCTAAAATAAGTTGATCTTTTGAGGTTGGGAGTTCCTACCTAATCCCTTGCTGACCCCTGCCCTTTCCCAACAAGCAGGCTTTCTGGAATCATTTCAACCCTGAGAGGCAAGAAAAGTAGAGCTGAGCTGAGAGAGGTTGGTGTCCCAAGAGAAGCTTGCCCTCCTGTGTATGCCAGTCACTTTCCTTCTCCAGGAAGTAATCACAGACTGGGTCCCAGAGAATCTTCTAGAATTATGAGCCAAAAGGGCAGAGGTCACTGATCTCTAAAATCTGACCCAATGCCATCCCCTTAACAGTTCCCTTCCAAGTCTCAGGAAGTAGCAGAGTCTAGCCCGTCACATGCTCCAGTGACCAGCACCACCTCTTTTCCCCACTTCTAACACCCCCTCATTTGATTCACAGATGTCAGTGAGACCCATCTCCATGGACCTATCATGCCTTGGCCCTTGTGCCGAGTCCCACTGGGTTGCTCCCAGTAGGGACTGTCTGTTGGCTTAATTGCAGCATCCCTGGCAATTAAGTCCTGTGAATCTCCTTTGGCTTCCCATTCTGTGACTGTGGCCCATGCCACCCACCCCCATTCCCAGCCCTGAATTTGCTGTCCAGCCTCCTACTTATCTAGAAAGGGAGTTCGACTCTTTCAGGCCTGTCTGTGCTTGTCTGTGTCAGGGAGGGAGAATGCAGGTTTGGGGAGAAGGAGACATAGGCCTGTGAAAATCACTTCCTTACTTTACTCATTATCTTCTTTTCCCCACCCTTCCCAAGCCATTCAGTAAGAACAGGAAAAAGTGACCAATGCCAGGGGAAGGTCTGGTAGGGTGGCCAACTTGCCCAGATCTGAGGGCTGCTTGCCAAGGCCACAAAATCTCTGTACAAACTCCTCAGAGGAAGATTCTATTGCAGTGACTCTCGGCGCTCCATTCATGCCAGGCTGCACCACCCAACCCTCTGTCCCTCTCAGCACCCTCCCACCCAAGCGTGGTTAGCAGTTGTTTGCAGTGGTTTTCAGTTAGCACTTGGGTAGGGAAGGGCTGAGGGTGGGGGAGTCAGGGTGGGGAGGACACCTGATTGTGATTAGAGGGATTGCAGCAACCTTGATTTTTCCATTGAACTGGTCATTCTTGCAGATGGGCACAGAGCGGAAGCAGTGTTAGAACTGGCCCTGACATCTCGGCAAGGATTCGTCAGAGGCTAGCTACTGTCGGCTCTGACACCAGCCCAAATGCCCATTGGGTTCTGAAACCCTGACCTCTGGTGATGGAGGAGACCTGGAGGAAATACCCATTCCATTGAGATACCCATTCCCATTCCATGCCTGGTCTCTGCATTGGAAGCTACCCCAGTTAGATGTATTACATCCTCAATAGAGTACTTTGTAAGAAACCCATCTATGGTGTCACTTTGCAGACAGTCTTAGCCCATAGTTCTACCTCGATAGGCCCCCCCAAGGGCAGGAAGTGAGTTCATACTTACTTTCCTGCCTTGTCTGACACAGCACTTGTAAAAAAGAAAAGAGGGGGGAAAATAGTGGACAAGCTTTGAATCAATTCCCTCCTTTTTGCCTTCAGAGAGAAGTTTGGTAAGCAGCCTGCTTCACCTTGTACCCTTAAAAAAATTATTCAACCTTCATTCACTATGGAAAATACTACACGGAAATGAAGATCTGGTAGAAAAACAGCCAAAACCTTGTCTTTCTTGTATAACTACAGAAACAACTGTGGAAGTTTTAAAAATCCAGAAAGACAGCAGAAAGACCCTCTAAAAAATACTATGCCCAGACATTTTCGCACCCCTCTGTGTCTCTTTTTAATTGCCTGGGTTCACTGTAGATTGCCCCAAAATTAGCCGCAGTCCAGAGCCTGTTTCCCAGCAACCGAAGCTCAGAACAGTTTTCCTCTGGATACTGTCCCAGCACCAGTTTCATCCAGTTAATTAGTTTCTTTGTAATTAGTCTTAATCGTCTTGTTAGGGGCCCCTGCTGATAACAGCCCAATAGCCAGGAATCCCCAGGTAGAACAAATGAGTCTGGGGGGATGTCAGCCCACTAGCCCTGCATGCATGCCAAGTGGGCATCAGGGGTCTTACAAGGGAGGGCAGTGGGGGAAGGGGGGTGGGGAGAGTGGTTAGAAGGATAGGGGAAGATTTGAGGCAGCCCTCTGCCTCAGTTTTGTGTGTTATCCTGGGCTTTGTCCAAGATGCAGAATTCCAGAAGGGCTGGCCTAGAACCTTGTCCAAGAATGAGGAACGGGCCAGTCAGTCTAACTCCAGGGAAGAAGGACACCTGAGCCTTTCCTTAACTTTGGATTACAGAGGGATTTTGGAGGCAGGGAGCTGACGACCATGGAAGTCATGGGCAGCCAGGAGCAAGGCTGTGGAATTATAAATATGCAGAACAAGGAGCCGCTGCAGGGACAGGTGGTCTTCCTGAGTGCCACTCCACACACAGAAGGGGACAGCATGTGTCTTGTAGCCCTGAGCTGATTTGGAATCTGCTGTCCAAGTGGCCAGTGAGGATCCAAGATGTGTGTTGAGCACTTCCTTAGGACCAAATGCTGTCAGTCACAGGGTGACTGCCACCATCCCCATGTCACAGTGGAGGAAATTGAGACTCAGAAGTTAAGCAGACTTGCCTTGGCATCACAGGAGTAAGTGACAGAACCAGATTCACAGCATAATGTCTCCTGAAGTCACAGTTCGGTGATATTATTTGACGAGAGCACATTCGAATGTTATGTATCTATACCAGGTTTTGGCCTGGGAATTTAGTCCGAGAGCCCAGGGGTGGAGTCTCAGCCTCGGTGGACAATCACTTGGTCCGAAGGCCAGCTCTAGTGTGAGTGTGAGAGTGGATTTGTCATCTGGCCAAGCCTCAGTCCCTCGCTTCACAGACACCCTGTTGGACAGACACATACCACACACACAGCACTATCATTTGCACTGAAGCACAGACTCTAGGACTACATAGAGGAGCCATTTCTTAGTCTCTAAGCTGTGCTGCCTGACCCAGCCCCTGCAGGCCTTGGTGTGAAAGCATGGCACAGAGCAAAAGGGAGGGCATACAACCCACAATGACCTGTGCAGAATGCACACTCTGGGCTCAGGAAAACAGAAGAACCCATCCCAGAGTGGCAGTCCTGAAACTCACTAGGAGCCAATTTGGGGAATCCCTGTCACAGATGGACCAGGAGATTACCTTCTGTGGGGTTGTACCTGATCAGCCATTTGGAAACATGAAGGGACATGTTTCTCAGAGGGCAACAGACCTGGGAACTTAGCTTTCTGAGCCAGAAATCAGGTGACGAGCCCAGCAGGAAATGGAAAAAAGTGTATCCACTGCAGAGACAGGATGGGGTGCTGGCCAGAGAAGGCTATCTCGCTATTTCTTAGAGCTACTCTCGAATTCAGGAAACTTCCAGTCTGGCTGAGATTGGAAAGAATTGTGATTGATCTACTTGAGGGTTTCATTGGCAAAATGTCCCAATTCTCCATCTGAGATGCAGCCATGGCCAGCACAGCCTCTACACCTGCAAAGGGCAGCACGTCAGCCCCCTTGTAAGCCTGTGTGACTCAGGTGGTGTGATGCGTCACCGTTGTGATCTTCCATCTTTATCTCTCTGACCCCTCTTACCTGTGTGCTATTTTGATGGCTACCTAAAAGGAACCACAGCTGTTCTTTGGTTGTTCAGCTAAATTGTTGTTTAATCTTTTCCATCTTCCTCTTTCTGTGCCTGTTCCTGGGTAAGGGGAGCGTAGGGGTGCTGGGACCCCAAGGCCTTGAATGTTGAACAGAATTTGAGGAATGATGATAGAACTGCCGTAGCAGTTCAAATCTCACCAGCCCCCTCTGCTCACATCCACTCTGGAAAGATCGCCAAACCCCCAGCCCCTCTGCCCCTCCTTACTGCTATGATTACACCAGTGGTTCCCAGCCTTTTTGGCATCATGGACCAGTTTCGTGGAAGACCACTTTTTCATGGACGGTGGGAGCAGGGAGGATTATCAGGCATTAGATTCTCATAAGAAGCACACAACTTAGATACCTCACATGCGTGGTTCACAATAGGGTTCGCACTTCTGTGTCCTCCTCTGACAGGAGGCAGAGCTCCACGCACCTGCACTCACCTCCTGCTGTGCAGCCCGGTTATTAACAGGCCACAGACCAGTACCAGTCCGTAGCCCAAGGGTTGGGGACCATTAGTTTACACAGTCAGAGCCGTCCAGACTTCCAGAACCTGTGGAAGATGGTTCCTTCTGCTGAGGAGTACTTGGAAAACTGCTTTCCTTCTAGAAGTAAAGAGATAAACTTGCAAACCAAAAAATCAGGTGGTGGCCCTGCTTTTTTAGAAATGTTAGCCAGCCCAGCAGTGGAGAAAATATTCTGAATCTGGAGCCGGAGCTCTTGGTATGAGGACCCATCAAGGAGTTACATGAAGAAGGTGTTTATTTCAGAAACCTGGTTTTACATCACTGAACCACAAATTCTCTCAAGGATCCAAGAATCCTGTTCCCTCAAGAAGCTCCATCTAGGGTATAAGGAGGTCCCTGCCTGCCCAGAGCAGTTTCGCCTGATCCACTTATTTTGACCGAACCTTACAAGGGAAGAAGCGATTCAGGTTTCCAGTACTGCAGCCCCATTCGTTGATCATAGCAAAGTGGAACTTGAAACTTGTCCTGGATGGGAGGAAAGATACTATGGCTTGGGGTGCTAGAGCTCTGAGAAGGAGTAGAGGAATGTCAAAGGCCTGGTCTAGTACCATCCAGGGAATCAGAGACATGGAGAATCAGCAAGCCAGAAAAATGGGGCTGAGTTTTCTGTGAACCAGCCACAGTGGTTGAACCTTCCCCAGAGGCCCCAAAAGTAGACATCCCCTTAGAATTAGACCTTATTTCTTGCCCCAAACAGGCCAGTGTGTTGAACTCCTGCCCAAACAATCCTCCCACCTTGGCCTCTCAAGGTGCTGGGATTACAGATGTGAGCCACCACGCCCAGCCATGCCGGTGCCATTCTATATGATTATCCTCCTAACTTGCTTTCTCTTTTATGGAGGAAAAAGCATAACAATCAGTTTCAGCCGGCAAGGCAGATGCACTATGGTTGCTATTCTGATGGCTACCTAAAAGGAACATCAGTCAGCAAATCTGTCAAGAACTGGTCCCACTCACCTCTCTAGCCTCATCTATTTCTTGTCTGCTGGAACCCTATACTTGAACCATACTGGATTACGGGTCATTCTTTCCTCATCTGTAAAATGATGGTAGAACCAAGTGATTAATAACTAAAAAGTACTGAGAACCTGGCACGTAGTAAGCACCTATAAATGTTAGCTCTTTTTTCCTAGCATAGTGTCTTGCTTGTAATATACACCTAATAAATTATCTGTTGAATGAAGAGTGAATGAAGTGTATCACCTCACTCTTGCCTCTGATTTTGCACATGCTGCTTCCTCTTCCAAGAATACCCCTCCCTCTCCTTCTTCCCTGACTTACATCTGCACGTCCTTTAAAACTCAACTCAGGTGTCTTCTCTAGCTGGGTGCCTTCCTGGCTATGTGACTCTAACCTGAATCTGGCGTTCCTCATCTGTGCCCATTAAACTGTACTGGATTACTGGCCATTATTTGAGTAATATCCTCCATATCTTCATCTGGAAAATGGAATCATAGTAATACCAGTCTTATAGGCTTGTTAGTTGAACCAAATGATTCACTTTTTTTTTTTTTTTCCTTTGAGTCAGGTCTCACTCTGTCACCCAGGCTGGAGTCCAGTGGCACAATCACGGCCACTGGAGCCTTGACCCGCTGGGCTCAAGTGATCCTTCTGCCTCAGCCTTCCAAGTTGCTGGGACTACAGACACGCACCACCATGCCCAGCCAATTTTTTTATTTATTGTAGAGATGAGGTCTCACCATGTTGCCCAGACTGGTCTCGAACTCCTGGGCTCAGGCAATCTTCTCATCTGGGCCTCCCAAAGTGCTGGGATTTCAGGCATGAACCACCATGCCCAGCCCCAAATGACTCATTTTTATCTTTATAATTGCAGTTATCAGTTTAATGCTATGACCTACTGGTTTGTTTCCCCAATAGATCGTGAGCATTTTGAGAGTGGAGGGAGGAGAATGGTGAATCCAGCCACTCCCTGAAGGGTGCTTATCACATGAGTGCTTGCACTTGTGAATATAATAATTATGTAAAAACTGTGCCTAAAAGTTGTTGAATGTTCACTCTTTCCCATTTATTAAGCTGGATATTTTTTGTGCATTATCCTTTACCTTCACAAAAATCCTAAGCTGTGGAAACAATTATAATTATTCCCTTTTGTAGGTAACAAAACTGAGGCTTAGAATAAATAACTTGCCAAGGTCAAGGTCATAGCAAGGATATGAACACAGGTGTCAGGCCTGCTAACCACTACATTACACTGTCCTTCTATACAAACAGTAGTTTGATATGTGTTCCGTCACTTGCTAGACAATTGTATTTTGTAACTTAACTAATGAACCAGCAACTAAAAGCAAGGAAAACTGAGCTGTTCTTATGAAGTTTGTGTTTTGTTGTAGGTTCGGACAAATGGACCTCCCTAGAAAGAAAACTGTTTAGCAAAGCACTAGCCACTTACAGCAAAGACTTTATTTTTGTACAGAAGATGGTAAGCATAGTTTTCCTCACTGCTCTCTTGAAATTAAATGTGGGAAATAGTACACATAAAGATATTTAGCAATATATGGCTACTGGTTTAACATCCTCCCAAAAAGGATGGATGTCTTTACCCCTCACTGGTGAAGGATGAGCATTGATGTGAGGTGGTCTGACCCCAGTGTTGGGGATGTGGGGAAAACATAGAGAAAAAAAGAGGATTATTTGGACATTGCAGTGGTGGAGGCTTTTTTTTTTTTATGAGTCATGGTCTCACTCTGTCACCTAGGCTGGAATTCAGTGGCTCACCACAGCCTCAATCTCCTGGGCTCAGGCTATCCTTCTACCTCAGCCTCCCAAGTAGCTGGGACTACAGGCATCACCACCATGCCTGGCTAATTTTTTTTTTTTTTTTTTTTTTTTTGCGAAACAGAGTATCGCTATATTACCCAGGCTGGTCTTGAACTCCTGGGCTCAAGCAGTTCTGCCACCTAAACCTCCCAAAATGCTGGGATTACAGACATGAGCCACCATGCCCAGCCAAATAATGCATAATTCTGTCAGAATAACTTGAACTAAGGCTTCTGGTTCACAATCTACATAATTTATTTCATGTATATTTAATCTATAACATTTCTGACAGAATTGTTTTCTGGGAAATTGGGGAGAGGAAGACATGTGGTCTCCCCCTACCTAGTAGATTCTGGTGTTGGCTCCTAATCATAATAACAGTACTAATAAAAATAACAACTTTACATATACAACATTATACAGCAAAATGAAACTTTCACAAAGATGAAGTAGCACTTTATACGATAGATAAAAACGTAACAGGCTTCAATTGGCTGAGAGGTGGTTTAGCCTCAAGAATTAAAACTGTTCAAGAGTGTTTCAACAAATTGATGAATAATGGAGCTATTAAAGATAGTTAAGAGTGTTCAGATACAAGAGAACAGGTCACAGGTGACAGCTCCTGCTGGTCCTAGCTGGGCTGGATGGTGCTGTCCTGGGGTGGCACGTCTCCTGTCCTTCATCTAGGGCCTCGCCTGAATGAGCATCAGAAATCAGCAGATTTGTCTCTGACTTGCCTCCACCTCCATCTCTGCATTTGTTCCTGCCCTTCACTGCCTTGGCAGCCACCTCCCCCTTTGCTACCCCATGTGCCCAGCAGTTCCCTGCCCCCATTTTTTGAGTCACCCTTGCCCCAGGACTGACCTGGCCTAGGCCTTAATCCCTGAAGTCTCCACCCTGTCAATTGATGATGGAGTCTTGTGCTGTGTGTGCCAGGCGATGTGGAGTTGTTTTGTTTTGTTTTGTTTTTGTGTTAGGGTCTCACTCTGTCACCCAGGCTGGAGTGCAGTGACACAATCACAGCTTGCCACAACCTCGACCTCCTGAGCTCAGGCAATTCTTCTACCTCCCAAGTAGCTGGGACTACAGGCATCTGCCACCATGCCCAACTGATTTTTTTTTCTTTTTGTAGAGATGAGGGCTTGCTATGTTGCCCAGGCTGATCTCTAACTCCTGGGCTCAAGCAATCCTCTCACCCTGGCTTCCCAAAGTGCTGGGATTATAGGCATGAGCCACTGCACCTGGCCAATGCCAGTTTTAACAGGAGCTCTCTGGGACAGTATCCTTACTTCCTGGGATGATTCTAATGTGGATGTTCCAGATAAAAGGGGGCAACTTTGAGGAGTCAGAACTTCTGGTGATGTCCCTCTCATCTCACTGTGTAGGTGGCCATGTTCCCACCGCCGAAGTCGAGGGCCAGCCTTTCATCTGCCTCCAGAAGACCCGCATTATCAAACCCCACCTGAGCACAGAGATACATGAACTAAACAAAGGAATGTTTTTGCCTTAAAATGTATATACCATTGCCTCTTGAGGGGTGAACAGGGCAAGGCGTATTTCCTGTAAAATCTAAGCTCCGTCATTGTAACTTTTGCCTTATATTCCCATTCCATTACTAAGGAACGTTTTTCACAAATGGATTTTGAAGGTCAAGTCAGTGAGCTAAACACAATCAAGCATATTAAATGAAAAAGCAGCTGCTCTGTGGGTTAAAAAATGAGTAAGGTCTGTAGGGGATGATCTGAAAAAACTCTAAGCTATACATTGAAAAATATTATTTACAGTGTGCTACCTTTTGTGAGGAAAGATGGTGGGGAGGGAAATATTTTTATGTGTTGGTACATACATAAAGAAGTTCTGGAATGACAACCAAGAAATGAAAACAAGGGGCTGCTTGTGTTACATGGGTGAGGAGTAAGGACAGGCACAGTTAGGAGGCTTTTCACTGTGTACATTTTTTATTGAACTGTATAAACCTATTATAAAATTTGTGGCCAGGTGTGGTGACTCACACCTGTAATCCCAGTGCTTTGGAAGGCCAGTTTGAGACCAGCCTGGGCAACATAGTGAGACCCTGTCTCTACAAAAAATAAAATAAAATTATTAGCTGGGTGCAGTCATGTGCACCGGTAGTCTGGCTACTTGGAAGGCTGAGGTGAGAGGATCTCTTAGAACCCAGGAGTTCCAGGCTGCAGTGAGCTATGATTGCACCACTGTACTCCAACCTGGGCAACAGAGCAAGACACTATCTCTAAATATATAAATAAATCTGTTTCAAAAGTAAATATTCAGAAAAGCTTGCTGGCTTTTACTTGTGACTGGAGCTCACCTTGCACTTGCTTTCCTGGCAGGTGAAGTCCAAGACCGTGGCTCAGTGTGTGGAGTACTACTACACGTGGAAAAAAATAATGCGGCTGGGGCGCAAGCACCGGACACGCCTGGCGGAAATCATCGACGACTGCATGGTGAGTGAAGCTGCTAAGTTGTTCCTCAGGCTGGCGTGGCTCCCGTCCCACGCCCAGGTTAGTAAGTAGCTGGTGTTTGGTTTGGCTTTGCTGCAAGACAGCCAGATAGCTGGAGTGAAGAGGTGACAACAGCCCAGCTCCCGTGCAGGATGCAGGACTTGTCCTCCTGGTCTAAGCAGAGGGAAGGCGTCCTTGGTTCAGTGTTTAGCTACATAGCTGAGGGCTGGCTCACCCTTCAAGACCCATAGGAACCAGGAGAGTTAAGTCAGGATGGTCTCAGCCTTGGCTTGGCTGATTTATAATTAAGTGTCCTGACCTCCTGGAATATTCCTTTCCTGATCCTTCCATGTCATAGATGCTACTGATCTGAGACCATCACAGGCCTCAGAAAGATGAAGGAACCCTGGGATTTTGCCACCGTCTGTATCAAGCATGAGCAAGAGGCACTTGGACCTCAGATAGTGCCAGGAGCTCTCAATCACTGAGGAATTGGTCAGCAATGTGTAGATGATTCCAATCCTGACATCACCATTTATCCCTGGCATTGATGTCCTTCATTAGCAGATAACCCAAAGCCATCTGCATGTTAGATTAAGTATACACTAATGACATAACAAAGGCCAGGCTCAGTGGCTCACACCTGTAAACCCAGCACTTTGGAGGCCAAAGGAAGAGGATTGCTTGAGCCCAGGAGTTCAAGACAAGCCTGGGCAACATAGCAAGACCCCATCTCTACAAAAAAAATCAAAAAATTAGCCAGGTATGGTGGCACACATCTGTAGTCCCAGCTACTCAGGAGGCTGAGGTGGGAGGATCACCTGAGCCCAGGAGGTCAGGGCTGTGGTAAGCCATGATTGTGACTGCCTTTCAGCCTAGATGACAGAGTGAGACCCTGACTCAAAAAAAAAAGAGAGACATAACAAGACCTGGGTACTCTCTGAACCCTATACATGTGGATTTGGTCATTACTATCACTTGTGATCACTTGTGATCTCCTCTCTGCATCCGTAACCAGTGGAAATCTCCTTTTCACACTTTGTGGAAAACATTGCCTACTGTGTATGTGTAGGTAAAAATTATGTCTTACAAAAAATTACTAAACTCTAGCCTCCAACAGCAAAAGTGTTTAGAATCCACAAATTATGTGAATATCTGTAATTGTATTGTCATTCCCAATTGTGCTCCAGTTATAAGGGTTAGCACGTATGTGGGTTATTGTCTTTAACAGACAATTAAATAGCACTTTCTCATATGCCAGATAGTGTGCTAAGGACTTTACAAATATTGACTCATTTAATCCAATCTATTCATTTAATACCAATCCTATGAGATGGGAAACTGAGTCAGAGTGTAAGTTAGCCAGGGTCACACAGCTGGCAAATGTGTTGTCTGAGCCTGATTCCCTTGTGTACTTCAGAGTGGTCAAATGTAATTCTTTTAGAGAAGTATAAAAACACGTGGACTCATCAGTGCTTCAAAGCTTAAGCTCTTAACTAAGAATTGATCTTAGCTGTGAAATATATATACATATTAATTTATATTTGGACCCAAATTCCAGAGAAAATATAAATCTGTGGAATAAAATGATAATGCCATTTTTTCAATCAGAGATGGCAGTATGTTATACTCAGGGTTTCGTGTGACCAAGGCTTTTGTTTGACTGGTCTTTTAATGATTTATTATATCAGAATAGCCTTTACTCATCTGTGGCCTAATGTTTAAAAAAAGCAGTATCAGTCAGGCACAGTGGCTCATGCCTGTAATCCCAGCACTTTGGGAGACCAAGACAGGAAGAGTGCTTGAGGCCAGGAGTGCGATACCAGCATGGGCTACATGGCAAGATCTCATCTCTACAAAAAAATTAAATTTAAAAAAAATTAGCCAGGCTTAGTAACCCGTGCGTGTGCCTGTAGTCCCAGCTTGGGCAACACAGCAAGACCCCATCTCTACAAAAATTTTAGAAGGGAATGATGGTATATACCTGTCATCACAGCTACTTAGGAAGCTGAAGTGAGGGGATCGCTTCAGCCCAGGAGGTTGAGGCTGCAGTAAGCTATGATCCATCACCACACTCCAGCCTGGGTGATAGTGTGAGATCCTGTCTCTTAAAAAAAAAAAAAAAACACCAACAGCAGAACCAGGGTAACCTCCTCTGGCTCAGTCAACTTAAAAAAATTGAAGTCCCACAATGTCAACTGCGATATGTATGTAGTGCTGTAGGTAACCCAAAAATGGTCATCAGCCTCTGCCTCCTCTCCTCACCACCCAGAGCCTATGTCCTGTTGGGAAGATGTAATATACATGAGTAGAAATCTTCCTGCAGGTGTGTTTAAAAGCAGTGTGAGATGAGAATTGGAAAATCTTAGATACAGCCCTAAAGACTGTTCCACCATCTTACAAGCAGAAGGTTGAGACCCAGAGAGGAAAAGGGACTTTCCCACAGTCACACAGAGCATTGCTTTCCAAATGAGTAGAATAGACAGCAAACCAGGAAGCACAAAGAACCTTATCCTGAAAGACCCAGGACCTGGCTCCTGGGCTTGCTGACCTGCAAACGGGGCTGACAATTTAGATGATTTGGGAAGCCCTTTCCAATTCTGGAATATTTTGGCTCTGTTAGTGCTGAGTTTTAAAAGAGGGGAAAATCAGAGACTATGGTCTCAAGGTAAGTGGTGTCTCTTAGGCTTGGGTGTTACCGAGTGCAGAGGACAGTATCTGGCATAATACATGCACCCAGTAAGTATTTGAACGAATGAGCATTTTACCAAGATAGGAGTCACTCTGGTTTGTAGCAACACCTCTGTAAACTCACTGAAGAGAGACAGAACAAACAAACGGCTGGTGAGCAGAGGCATGCCAGTGAAGATGTTTCCACGAGGCAGAGCCACCATCTTGGGCTGACCGGGTAGAAAAGCCCGGGCCAGGGCGTAGCCTCAGATTAGGGAGGTAAGATGAAGACAGTGCCCTAAGGGCCACACCTTCTTGGGCTTATTCACCAGGAGCCAGTATTACACCCTTGTCACTTGTGAGCTTAGGAAGGGCAAAAAAGCTTACGTTGAGATGACTCAGGCCCACAAAAACAAGAAAATCTTGCTTTAAGGCCAGCATGGGAGCTCCCAGCTCCTTCGTGGGCACTGTGTGCACAGTCCACCTTCTGAACATGGTTTGCCAAGTGGAGATGAAGAATTGGGGTCATGCGAGGACTGGGGAGGGTGCAGGAGGCACAGTCCTAGGATGTGCTCCTGCTCTTTATCCTTTGGGTCTGCCTGGGACACTGGGATAGCTCTGGTGTCCTGGATCATATATCTTCAGTGTTTTACTAAAGGGCAGGTGTCCATTTCTCTCCAGATAGAACATGAAGGAATATGCTCAGGTAGCTCAGGGGTTATTGAGGTCTTAAAGGACAGAGGGAAAAATATGACGGTTTGAAAGGAATGGTTGCTCTCTAGCTAGCCGGGAGGTCAACAGAGCACAGTGACTTACTCAGCTGGGGCAGTCTGACTTCCAGCCTCAGTCATCACAGGCACTTTCCCCTTGGAGGCAGAAGAAGGGAGCCCCAGCATAGGCTCGGCAAATGAGGTAGAAGGAGAGGGTGCCAATCACACCTTCTTGTCCCCTGCCTGATCTCGTGCTCCCCGACTCAGGACAAATCTCCTGGAGCTGGCTGTGACCAAATTTCAGCACAATTTAAGAAACCAACTGAGGCAGTTAACTGACTTTGGCAAATAGCGGCCAGGGCTCCAGGGGCAAAGGCAGAGCTCACCCGTGGTGTCTGCATCAGTTTACCTATAGCACAGTCTCCTGACGAGGGCTCAGGAAGCATCCTCCCCTTTGTCATTTGAAGGTAATTGGCTCCAATGGTTTTGAGAGGTTTAGGATCTCTGAGCTATTCACAGATGGACAAATGTGCCCTTGCAGATGTTTGCAGCTGGACCAAGGAGTGAAGAAGGCTGAGATTTTGTCTCAGACAAGCCAGCTTTTGAATCTCAGTTCAGCTTCTTTACCAGCTTTGTAACCTTGAGAGAATTGCTTCTCTGGCCAATTTCCTCATTTATTTAAAAAAGAAAAATACACAGTGTTGTGAGAACTAGAAATGTGTGTGTGTGATGTATGATTCATAGCATTTAATACACTGTCATCATTACTGTTAGTGACCATGACACTCAAATGTGTGTCTTTGAGCAACTTTGGGTTGTTGAGGGTTTGTATTCTAACTTACCAGCTTCTTGTAATATAAGTCCCAGAAATAAATATATCACCCTCCTCAAGAAACTCTAATTGTGAACATTCAAGGTTTTGAGCACCATCTTCAACATACGACCTCCTCCCTCATCCTGTATCTGCCCACCTTTTACTCATTCTGGGGTATTACTAAATATCTCATTTCACAATACATCATAAAATAGCCAGCTTGTTGATACAAAGTTCTACATATTAAGATTTTTGAAGCTGGGCTCGGTGGCTCAACCTGTAATCCCGCGCCTTTGGGAGGCTGAAGTGAGTGGATTGCCTGAGCCCGCAGGTTCGAGACCTGCCTGGGCCCGCAGGTTCGAGACCTGCCTGGGCAGTGAGACCTCATCTCTACAATAAATCAAAAACTCAGCAGGGCATGGTAGCGCATGCCTGTAATTCCGGCTACTTGGAAGGCTGAGGCGGAAGGATCACCGGAACCCAGTAGGTCGAGGCTGTGGTGACTGGGAGCGGCCACTGCACTCCAGTCTGGGTGACAGAGTGAGACTCCAACTCAAAAAAAAAAAAAAGAAAGATTTTTGTCCTCCTATCTTTTAATCTCTTAGTCATTTTGGTGAGTCATATGGCTTGATGATAAATCATTTTGTGATTTATAGATTGCCAATTGAAATAGTACCTATCTAAATTCCCAAGACATATATAAAGTACAGTGTAATCTATAATTCTATAACAATATAAACTGTTTCTTCTAAGATTTTTTTTTTTTTGAGTCAGAGTCCTACTCTCTCACTCTGGCTGGAGTGTAGTGGCATATCACAGCCATTGCAGCCTCGGCATGCTGGGCTCAAGCAATCCTTCTGCCTCAGCCTTCCAAGTAGCTGGAACTACAGGTGTGTGCCACCACACCCAGCTATTTTTTTTTAATTTATTGTAGAGATGAGGTCTCGCCAAGTTGCCGAGGCTGGTTTTAAACCCTGGGCTCAGGCATTCCTCTCTCCTTGGCCTCCCAAAGTGCTGGGATTACAGGCATGAACCACTACACCCGGTCTTCTAAGAATTTTTAAGGCCGGGACTCGATGATTCAGCCTTTAATCCCAGCAACTTTGGAGGCCGAGGCGAGTGAATTGCCTGAGCCCACAGGTTTGAGACCAGCCTGGGCAACTTGGTGAGACCTCGTCTCAACAATAAACCAAAAATTAGCCGGGCATGGTAGCGCACACCTGTAGTTCTGGCTACTTGGAAGGCTGAGGCAGAAAGATCACCGAAGCCCAGCAGGTCAACGCTGGGGTGGCCATGAGCATGCCACTGCACTCCAGGCTGGGCGACAAAGTGAGACTCCAACTCAAAAAACAAAAAAGAATTTTTTAAGCCAAACAATGACATTGTGAGAAAATTGTAATTAGAATAAGTGCCATGAAACAAACACCATTGTCATTAAAAGTTCATTTTAACTACCAAAGTGTAGGCTATGGTCTGCTTAATATTTGAGACCACAAAGTCCCCAGTTCTATGAAGGAATGGGAAAACCCATAGAGTTTAACATTATATGATTTTGCCTGAAACCCTTTGGAACTGAAAGATGGTGAATTCCTACATGAATAAGAGCATCTACATGAAATCAGCCTGTCTGTCCTATACTAGCAAGAAGTCCAGGTTCTGTGATAAACCACTCCATCAAATGTGTTAGGCCTGTGTCCGTGTTCATTGAGGTCTTCCAGCCCATGTAACTATTACAAATTAATCCTGTTTAACCCACTGGAAACTGGGACCATATCTTAAATAATTTTTGTTCATGCATCATCTCGAACATGCATATATTGATATTAAGTATGGACAGTTCTGAAACGGAGGTGGTTATTAACTGCCTCATACTGGCTGGAATTGTCTTTCTCACACACATCCCCTGAATCCAAACTGGAGAGAAGAAGCTTGTGGTTTTTGGACAGGATACCATGACTCAGAAGTCTTTGTTCTTCCTGGAAATTCTTGCTTCTGGGTTCTAACTCATAGGTTCCCCAGACTTACATCGCTGTCAGGGGTAAAGCAAGCTGGATCCCTTGTACTTTAAGCAATGGGTGCACAGAGAGAGCCCGGCAGAGACGAATGGGCTGTCAGATCAGAGGCAGCTGGACATGCTTTTTCGTTCCTCGTTTGTAAGCTGGGAGGACCGTTTACAGCGTACTTGGTGGCATGGTAAATGTGAAAGCACTTTGTAAACTGTAAAACATAAGCTGAAATAGGCTGACGGAACAGAGAATTCCCTTTCTCTGGTCTTCAGCCCTTTCTGGGCCTGCATCCCTCACCCCTTCCCTGGTAAGAGTGAAGAGAGCAGGATAAAGTAGTTCATTGAGCAAGAGATAGAATGAGCGCCTCCTGGTCCCGCCCTTCCTTCCAACACACCCAGGGCACACACCCTACACCACCCCAGGAATGTACTATGTTGTTTCTCTTGAGGAGGACAGGGACCCTCTGCTTAATTCTCCACGTGGCTGCTATTCTGAAGAGGGTAGAGGGGACATGGAAGCAGGGTGAATCATTATTCATAGGAAGTGTTTTTCTTTTTCTTTTTCATAAAATACCTCTGGTAGGAGAAAATGAGTAAATAGAAGCATTGAATACTTTGCTTTGTGCAAGCCCATGGTCAGAGACAAAAGAAAAAGCACACAGTAAATAAAAGCGATGTTCCCCTTCCACTTTCTCTCCTTTCATTCTGTGTTCTGACAGGACCAGAGTGGGATCTCCCCGGGTGCCACGCACTTCCACAACCGCGGGTCAAATCCAGCATCTTATGTGGCAGTGTAATAAAGCCTGTAAGACAAACCAGTACGGGTATTCAGTCCCTCTCCAAGGAGGTTTTCGCTGTACTGTTAGTGCTAAAAAACCCTCCTCTCTGCAGTGAGGAGACAGCTACTCACAAGCAGGACAGCCTGCCTGGGGTGGGTTTGTTTATTTGTTTGTTTGTTTGTTGAGTCAGAGTCTCTCACTCTGTCCCCTCGATTGGAGTGCAGTGGCATGATCACGATGATCACGGCTCATGGCAGCCTCGACCTCCTGGGCTCAGGCAATCCTTCCATCTCAGCCTCCCGAGTAGCTGGGACTACAGTCACATGCCACCGTGCCCAGCTACTTATTTTATTTTTTGTAGGGATGAGGTTTTACCATCTTTCCCAGGCTGCTGCCTGGTTTTTAGTCATTTTCAAGATCTCGTAGTCTTATACAAAAGGGGGAGTTTCTTACACACAGAAATCTCTCCTTTCTTCCTCAATATATTTTTATATAAATGATCAGGGACTTACTTCCTTGACCTCAAAATTCCAAGCGTCCAGAGACCAACCTTTTAGAGATTGTGCCCAGCAGGCTCTGTCACCTATTCCTTATGCCAAGAGTGTCACAACCCCAAAGTCCAGCCCCTCTCTCCTCTACTGGTCTGTGAGTTCTGTTTATCACTAAAAATGCCATTTGGGGGTTTCCCCTTCTTGCTTTTATTACCTTCACACTAGACAAGTGAAGAAGAGGAAGAGTTAGAGGAGGAGGAGGAAGACCTGGAAGAAGATAGGAAATCTACAAAAGAAGAGGAGAGTGAGGCGCCGAAGTCGCCGGAGCCACCACCAGTCCCCCTCCCGGCTCCCTCGGAGGGGCCACCTCTGCAGGCCCTCAGCCAGCCCTCGGGCTCCTTCATCTGTGAAATGCCCAACTGTGGGGCTGTAAGTGTCTCTGTGTTATCCAGGGATCTGGGACCAGCGAGGGCCACACAGCTGTGCCTGGCTTTAAGAGATGATGCATTGTCAAAACATTTCCAGCAATGAAAGTTTGGCAGAGGGCACTGTTGCCCTTGTTTTCTTATTCATTTGACCAACAGGTGTTTACAAAGTGCGGGTTCTGTGTCAGGTATGATTCTGTGTGTTGACACAAAGAAGGTCCTTGTGCCCAGGAAGTGAGAGCTTCCAAGCCCTGCAGTGAGTGTTGGCCTCCAGAACATACAAAGGGGACCCCAAAAAACCCCGGAATTTATTTATAAAAATTGTATATGTATTCTTACCTGTTTAAACTTCAGTCACCTTCAAAGTACTCTCCTCTGGATGCAATACATCTATCAAGACACTTTTTCCGCTGCTCAAAACAGTTTTTGAACTTGTCAGGTTTGATGCCCTTTGGTTCTTCTGCATTTTTTGTTTCACCTCTTACACATGGGCAAAACCTTTCCCTTTGAGGACTTTTTTCATCCAGGGAAATAAAAAAAAGTCGCTTGCGGTGAGATTGATTGAATAGGGAGAGTGGGGCATGGGTGTCATACTGTTGAACACATGGGTCAACAACTCAGCGCAATGTGAGCAGGTGTGTCGTCATGGTGGAAGAACCAGTCACCTGTTTGCCACAACCTGGGACGTTTCTTCCTCAAATTGTGATACAACCTTCTCAAAATTTCCAGGTAAAAAACTTTGGTTGACCATTTGATCCAGAGGAACAAATTTCGAGTGTACCACAAGGGGCCTGCCCTCCTAAAGATAATTCCGGGGTTTTTTTTTGTTTGTTTTTTGTTTTTTTTGCATCCCCCTCATACACTCCACGTTTCCTGGAGCCTCTGCACTCCCCTGGGCTGTGTGTCACACAAACTTGTGCCCTGTCAATATGCATTTAAATGCACCTGGGGAAGTCAGGTGTGCTGGAGCATGGATGTAGTCCCAGCTACTCGAGAGGCTGTGGCATAAGGATTGCTTGAGTGCAGGAAGTGAGCTATGATCACACCACTGCACTCCAGCCTGGACAACAGTGAGACACCATCTGTAATAAATAAATAAATACATACATAAATAAAATGCACTAAGAGAGCCCATAGACAAGGATCATTCTTTTATTACATAATTACTTGCCCCCACTGTCTTTGGTTTTACCTGTCTGGAAGGTTTTGCATTTCATATTTCATAAAGTATTACTAATTCAAATATCACTAATTTGAAATTTTAGAGAGCTGTTAAAAAGATTTAACTAAAGTTTATGTCTGTACTCTGTGTGGGGGTAAAATTTACAAGTACGCTAATCATATAAACAGGCTGAAGAGGAGTGTGTATAACCACTTGGTTGACTAATTTTCAAGTTGTTTAGAAGCATAATTTAGCAAAAATAAAATAAGTTAACTGTTTGGTTATTTTTTGCACTTAAGAAAGGCCTTACAGAATCTGCACTGGCTTAGTCTAAGGTTCTATTTGCTTTGTTTTTGTTTTTGTTTTTTTGAGTCCAAGAGTCTCACTGTCGCCCAGGCTGGATTGCAGTGGCACGATCACAGCTCACCGCAACCTCAACTTCCTGAGCTCGAGTGATCCTTCCCCCTCAGCCTTCCAAGTAGCTGGGACTGCAGGCCTGGGCCACCTTGCCAGGCTAATTTTTCTGACTTTTTGTAGAGATGAGGTCTCGCTATGTTGCTTAGGCTGATCTTGAACTCCTGGGCTCAAGCAATCCTCCCGTGTTGGCCTCCCATAGTGCTAAGATTGTGGATTATGCTCCATGAGTATTTTAAAGGGTATTTCTGAAAGTTGTTTACTTTGGACTCTCAATGTCCTACAGGTGCCCCATGAGTCTGAATTAGTGGACTTTCCCCAAATCTATCCAAGGCACACCTGTATAGGTGAGCTCCAAAAATGAGAATGTTGCTTCTTTCACAAGAAACCCCATTCTCCCCAAGTATTGTCTTTGCTTATACATGGTGTAGAATTGGAACTGTTTTCCACAGTGTATTGAATGCTGCTCATTGAGTCTGTCACTTTGACAAAGAAAGCAGCAATCTTTAAAATATGTAGATCCTAATGCAGAAATTCACTTGGTTTACATTTAAGAAAAAATGAAAAAGTAAAAAAAAAATTTTTTTTTAAGACATTTTGCTTTGGAGAGGACAGAAGAAATTGCTAGCTCGTTTCCATCTCTGATGTTTAATGACCTGACCTCTTCACACCCTCGTTGCATTTTGTATGGAGTGCTTCAGTGCAGGGATGATTATGATGTGACTTGAAGTGATGGTATTTCTTGGTGAATTTGTTCAGAAATTGATGATTCCTTAACTCAGAGTTTTTGGTGTACAGTAAATCATTTGCTGAGTGGGAGTCATCTTTTACTTTTCCCGATCAGAAATGCTCAGCAAGATGGATATTTTTTAATGACTTTTTGAGATCTCGGGGAAACTCATGCTGGTTTGTTCTTTGCCTAACAACAGAAACTTTGGTTGCTAAATCAGCAATAGATTTCTTTCTCTGTAAGAAAATCTACAAAGCTCATGAACTTCATGCAGAGCAACCACTGCAACTGGTACTCCCTTTAGCTGATGAATTTAACTGGAAGTTGGGGCTTTTGGGATTCAGGGGCCTGGATTACATCCCTTTACAGCAGTGGTTCTGAAGTGGGGATCATTTGTTCTCCAAGGACACTGGCAATGTCTAGAGACATTTTTGTCAAGACTGGGGAGGTGCTGCTAGCATCTCTAGATGACCAGAGATGTTGCTAACCGTCTTATATGACACAGCCCCCCACAACAAAGGCTAAAGTGTTAGTGGTGTGGAACTTAAGAAACCCTGATGTATGTATGGCAGGCTTCCAAATGCTGCCCAGGTCCTCGCTCTTTTCATTATTCTGTATTAATATGTGGGGGTCTTAAACATTGCTTCAACTGTAGATTACTAATTGAGGTTATATATGCCATATAGAATATGTCAAAGCACCTAATTGGTGTCTTTCAAACTGTGTTTCTTGGGGGCGCTAGGCTTCCTGGGAGTGGGTAGAGCTGAGCAAATGGGCTCAATCTGGGCTGCCGTTTCCATTTCAGCCAGAGCACTTTTGCTTGTAACTTGAGCTTGAGTTTTTGAGTAAAACATGATTTTTAGAAAAGAAAGAGGGAGGGCCAGGCGTGTTGGCTCACACCTATAATCCCAGCACTTTGGGAAGCCAAGGCGAGAGGTTTGCTTGAGTCCAGAAGTTTGAGACCAACCTGAGGAACATAGTGAGACCTTGTCTCTGTTTTAAAATATTTTTTTAAAGAAAAGAAAGAAGGAAGGGAGGGTGGGAGGGAGGGAGAAGGAAAATGGGAAGGAGGGAGGAAGATTGTTTTCAACTTTAAAAAGAAGTTTGGGCCGGGCCGGTGGCTCAAGCCTTCAATTCCAGCACTTCGGGAGGCCGAGGTGAGGGGATTGCCTGAGCCCACAGGTTCGAGACCCCCCTGGGCAACTTGGCGAGACCTCATCTCTACAATAAATCAAAAAATTAGCTGGGTGTGGTACCGTGCACCTGTAGTTCTGGCTACTTAGAAGGCTGAGATTGAAGGATGGCCTGAACCCAGCGGGTCAACACTGGGGTGGCCATGAGCATGCAACTGCACTCCAGCCTGGGTGACGGAGTAAGACTCCAACTCAAAAAAAAAATTTTGTTTTGAAAGCTGGTCCAACTCCATTTTACAGATGGAAAAAATAAAGCATATAGAGGGAAATGGCCTAATGGCTTTCCTGCTTGTTCTGAGAGAGCTGCTTCTAGACCCCCAATCTCTTGATGTCTAGATGGTAGCCTGTCCTTAATGCATGCCACATCGCCTCTTGTCTTCTGCCAGTAACAATGATGTGGTTTTTATTGGCACTGTATTTGTGGTTGTGGTATTTGATTCTTACTTTTTGTGGCATATACCAAGTGTGCTTAGGTAAAACCCTTGTGCCCCATCATTAGACACTGTTTCAAATATCCCATGTTTACCACTGAGTAACTAATAACCCTAATTTCCTTTTCAGGACTGTAGATGTCATGTCACTCCCTTTCTTCCCCAGGTGTTCAGCTCCCGTCAGGCACTGAATGGCCATGCCCGCATCCATGGAGGCACCAACCAGGTGACCAAGGCCCGAGGTGCCATCCCCTCTGGGAAGCAGAAGCCTGGCACAGCCCAGAGCGGGTACTGCTCGGTGAAGAGCTCGCCCTCTCACAGCACCACCAGCGGCGAGACAGACCCCACCACCATCTTCCCCTGCAAGGAGTGTGGCAAGTAGGTGCAGTGGAACCAGGGACAGAATCTAAGTCTATGATGAATCATTGCTCTGTGGGGGCCAGGCCAAGATGGTCTAAGGTTTCCTCAACCAGAAAAAGAACCAAGACTCTCAAAACTTTTTGTACTACCCTTGGGATCTGTATGGTGGACTTTGTCTCTGACTTAGATATGGCCATTCTGTTGTCTTAGAGCCCGGTAAGGATGGACATCTTGAGACAGTGACCAAAGTTCACTCTTTTCCAGAAATGAGGGGTAGGACTCTGATTCCCATTCCTTACCTGCACACATAAACCGTATTCACTAGTGTCACTCTCTTTAGAACACCTAATCAGGAACTCTCTGTAGCAGAGATGACTCATATGTGGTGCCCCTACCACTATTGCTCACTTCTGTGCCCAGGACAGACATCACTAATCAATTCCCACACTCCTTGCTATCACATTAATACAAGACCTCAAATCCTTTTCATTATAATCAAGCTGGCACAACCAATGAATCAGGGTTGGCACATGAAATAAAATCTGTTATCCACTCTTTTAGGTATAATTTAAAACAATATGCCGGGCACAGTGGCTCATGCCTATAATCCCAGCATATTGGGAGGCTGAGGCAGGAGGATTTGTTGAGCCCAGGAGATTGAGACCAACCTAGGCAACATAGCGAGACCTCATCTCTACAAAAAAATTTAAAAATCAGCCAGGCATGGTGGCACATACCTGTAGTCCCAAGTACTTAGGAGACTGAGGCAGAAGGATAACCTGAGCCCAGGAAGTCATGGCTGTGAGCTGTGATCATGCCACTGCACTCTAGCCTGTGTGACAGAGCGAGAACCTGACTCAAATAAAAATAAGTTAAACAACAACTAAATGGGAAAAGTGCCAGGACCTGGTAATTATCACAGCTAATGTTTACTGAGCACTTATTTTGTTACATACTTTATGTGCGTGAACTTATTTACTCCTCACACAGAAGTTGTAGTGATGCAGACACCTTGTTTCTCCTTGTTTTGCAAATAAGCATTTAAAGTTAGGTGAAATGACTTGCCCCAAGTCATACCACCAGTGGAGAGTAGGGCTGAGATCTGAACCCAGCTTTGCCTGAATGCAGAACCTGGGCTCCTAAGGGTGGCTCTGTCCTTTGGGTTTGCTTTGTCTGTTTATTTACCTTAGGGAGAAAATATCACTGAGGGTGGGATGCACGATCCCCTCCCACAACATCCAGTGGCGAATTCCAGTTGACTCTCAGTGAGTCTGCCCGAGTGGAAGGGTATCACACTGTCACGAGTGACATCCTGCAGGAGCCTTGCTGAGTTCCTCTTCTCATGACTCCTAGTCCCTCAGACATAAAGAGAAGAGCTATCCGGAGAGATGCTGACCAGGTGGCTGCCAGAACTCCACCAGGAAAACATCCCCAGTGAGATCAGCAAGGCCAAGTGGGGCCTCTCCTTACACGTCCTCACAGAATATAGCTGGCAGCTTAATCGGTGCCCTTTATCGGTGTTCACTGTTGGCCTAGCACTGATTTAAAGGACTTTTTTAGTCCATTGTGTGTTTCTGGAATCACTCACTGGGTAAACTTTAAGGAAAAGAAATGTATTCGTATAGCTCTGGAGGCTGGGAAGTTCAAGGTTGAGGGGCCAGCATCTGGCAAGGGCCTTCTTGCTGAGTCATCCCATAGCAGGACAAGGAGAAGGCAAGAGAGAGCAGGGGGTTGAGCTCACAGCCTCCAGCCCTTTGATAAGCCGCATGAATCCATTCATGAAGTAGAGCCCCCCTGCCTTCAACATCTCCTATGAGGCCTCACCTCCTAGCACGGTTGCACTGGGGTTAAGTTTCCAACACATGCTTTTTGGGGGACACATGGACACATTCAGCCCACAGCATACATACTGATTTTAATCTTTAAAATAGTCTTATGAGCCGGGCTCAGTGGCTCAGCCTGTAATCCCGCATCTTTGGGAGGCTGAGGTGAATGGATTGCCTGAGTCCGTGGGTTCAAGACCCGCCTGGGCAGCGAGACCTCATCTCTACAATAAATCAAAAAATCAGCCGGGCGTGGTAGTGCATGCCTGTAATTCCGGCTACTCGGAAGGCTGAGGCGGAAGGATCACCGGAGCCCAGCAGGTTGAGGCTGACGGCCACAGCACTCCGGTCTGGGCGACAGAAAAATTAGTCTTATAATGCAGGTACTTCTAGTAGCTTTTTATTTTTTTCCTTTAGTCAGTGTCTCTCTCTGTCCTCCACTCAGTCTAGATGGAGTATAGTGGCACTATCATGATGACTCACTGCAGCCTCAACCTCCTGGGCTCAGGTGGTCCTTCTGCCTTGGCCTCTCAAGTAGCTGGGACTACAGGCATGCGCCACCACACATGGCTTAGTTTTTGTTTTTTTGTTTTTTGTAGAGACACGCTCTTGCTGGCCCAAAGCAATCCTCCTACCTCAGTCTCCCAAAGTGCAGGGATTATAGGCAAGCCAGTAGCTTCTTTTTTACAGGTAGAAACTGAGACACAGAAAGGGGAAGCTGCTTGTTGTGGTATGCACAGCGAGTGGCCAGGGGGGATTCAGATCATGCTGAGCCTGGTGCCCTTAGCCTCTGTGCCACGCTGCCTCTGAGTAAACCCAGCTGAGCTCAGTGGCTGAGTGACTGGATTGGAACCAGCAGACCTCTTCCCCTCCGTGAAGCATAGGAATGGGAGAAATGGACTTACTTGTTAGTCTCCTCTGTGCTCTGCTGTCTTCACATCACCACCACCACACAATGAGTGAACCATGGAAGAAATGGGCCCCCAGATTGATCATAAGGCTATTTACTTGACATAATGATGGGACCATCCGGAGCTGACTCTCAGTTATCTTTCACCTACTAATCCTGGAGTAGCAGCGTGGAAGCATCAGCCTGTTTTCCCTGAAAGGAGCCAGTGCCTTCCACTCATTTGGCTCAAAAAGGCTACAACTCCACAATCCACCAGGTGGAGACAAAGGACAGTTTAACAGACAAATTTGTATTTCGTCGTTTTCCGGCTGTCTTTCAGTGGCGTCTATTAATTGATGGGGTCTGGGGCTTGTTTGTTTGTTTCTTTGGTCTTATTTTTATTTTACTTGGGGACTTTCTCTACCAGCAGTCCAGTTAAAACTTTATGGAAAATAGAAATGTTTTCTGTGGCCGGGCTCGGTGGCTCAGCCTGTAATCCCAGCACTTTGGGAGGCCGAGGCGAGTGGATTGCCTGAGCCCACGGGCTCGAGACCAGACTGAGCAACTTGGTGAGACCTCGTCACTACAAAAAAAAAATTGTTTCCTGTGGTTTTCCAGACGAGGAATAGCATCAGGCAAATGTTCACGGGATGCCTCTTGTAGCTGCTGAAATTATATTCACACACAGAACAGTTTTCAGTATGTCCAAGGGGAATTGGGATTTACCAACCCTGTTTGACTCAGCCCTTAGAAATCAGGTTTTTTCCCTTTATGAGCTCAGGAATGATTATAGAGTATCCATGCCATCCCTTTCCATGCACCCCTATTCCCTATAGGACACCTGAATTTCCAGGGACTCAGATCTCCTTCTAAGTTTTATGTGCTTTTTTTTTCGTAGGGTCTTCTTCAAGATTAAAAGCCGAAATGCGCACATGAAAACTCACAGGCAGCAGGAGGAGCAGCAGAGGCAGAAGGCTCAGAAGGCAGCTTTTGCAGCTGAGATGGCAGCCACTATCGAGAGGACTACGGGGCCGGTGGGGGCACCGGGGCTGCTGCCCCTGGACCAGCTGAGTCTGATCAAACCCATCAAGGACGTGGACATCCTCGACGACGATGTTGTCCAGCAGCTAGGGGGCGTCATGGAGGAGGCTGAGGTCGTGGACACTGATTTGCTCTTGGATGATCAAGATTCGGTTTTGCTTCAGGGTGACGCAGAACTATAAAGCCCTGTGTGTTGCTTAGAGACATTGAAAACCCACAGCCTCCGACTTCATTAATCAGGAAACCTGGACTGCCTGCTTGTTTTGTAACCCTTTTAAACTACCTGTTTAAAAAGTGGTCGTTTTATTCAGGTTTAGAGAAAAAAAATCCCATTTCTTTTCCTTTTATTTAAAAAAAAATGTTTTTTGTGGGGGGTTGGGGGGGAATAAATAATTGGCACAACTATCTTTAAGAGGTGTTTCATCTGGGCTGCATTCTCATGAAGTCATTCCCAGCAGGGGACGAAACTGACGTTGATGTTCCACTGCATTCCGATGTCAATCACCCCAAAGCTTGCTGTGAGTGTGTGTGTGAATCAGGCTACCCTCTTCGTGCTGGGGCCTTCGGGCCGTCTTTTCCCACCAGGCATCATTTTTATTCTGTTCTGACCTCATTCTGTAGTTTGCAGTAAGTGTGGCATCTATGCCCTGGTGGGGAGAGGGTAGCTTTCCAGGGACCCTCCTGTTACACGGCCCTCCTCCAGCACACATGTTACGCAAAGTAGTGACCAAGTGGGCAAGTAGGTTCCCTCTGCATTGCCTGTCACTCTTTGGTAGGATGCAGTACTGTATCATTGCAGGCATTCACTCCTAGCTGTGATTTACTAAGGACCTGGTTTCTAGAGCAGGCTCCCCCTCTTCAAGTTCCCCGGGGGCTCGTCAGCTCCACGTTGTGGGTAGCAGAGCTGTGTTTCAGCATGAACAGACTAGAGGCCCTCCTGGAGACAAGTACCCCAACCATGAACATGAAGTTGCCAGGACTGCTTTCGTTTCAGGGTGATGAAGGGCTGGCATTGAAGTACCTGGAATGCCAGGAAATGTTCTTTTGCCCCGCACCCCCCCTCAAAATCAAAAGAGCCTATTCTTTTTTGCAACACTGTCAATGATTATGGAGTCCTGCAATTACTTTGTGCCACTCGGAAGTACTGTGAAACCTCCTTCACTGGGATTTTGCTTAATTCACGTCTGCTGGACTGAAGTTTACCTTAATGCTAGTTATAAGAAATAAAGTTTTCTAACATGTGTGATAGCCAATACAAGACAAATAGCATCGAAGGCCAACAACAATGGCTTCAGATTACCTTGAGCTACAATGTGTGCATTCAAACATGAATGCATTCATTACAAGTCACTTACCAAAGCACTCTAGACTTCTCCGCGCTACATGACTTTGCTCTGCCTCCTCCTGCCTCTATCAGCAGGGTTGCTGTTTGTACTTGAAGGTAATAAAGCGATAATCCTTCAAAAATGCCATTTCGCCCAGGCTTTTGAGCTGAGTCAAACTGAACCATCCCATTGTTAGGGCAGAAATCAGACAGGGACGCAGCCCCAGTGCAGAAAGGATCCTGCTTCTCACAGCTCCCCTTAGGTGTTAACGCTGTGTGACTTCCGAAGCAGGTGTTTCAAGCCTCGCCCCACCCCAGGTACGCTGTGGCTGTCAGGCTGGGCCACTTTGCTGGCATCTTTTAAGTTTGACCCTGCAAAAATATTTGGCACAGCACTCGGAGCCGGCTGTGGCCCACAGCAGCCCTACACAGGCGGTGGCCTCTGAATCTCAGGAAAGCCATGGACAGAAGAAAAATACAAAGATAATTTTCTTTTCCATCATTCTGTTTTCAGAGAAGTCTTAGAGCTTTCCTTCAACTTTTGTTTAGAGAAAAAAGTTTTATCTGATGCTTTTTCGGAAAGGTTATCCTCTCCTCTGTTTTATCTAAGCAGCTTTGAGTTAAGGGCTGTCTGGGCAGTGTGCATCAAGTTTGTGGCAGAACTGTGACTGAAACATTCCAATTGTCATGCCACTGGCTGATCGTCCGTCCTGGCGACGGTTTTCCTCCCCTTACCAGTGTCTCGGGGTGAGTCTAGAATGGTTTTGCTATTGGGTCTATGGAAGCAAACATCCAGAAAAATGTTTATAAAGCAAATGTGTTCCTTCTGTTTGGAGACTTGCCCAGCTGTTCTGGTTTTAAACATTAAAAATAAACTGAGTTGCCATGGCAAAAACAGAACGCACAATTTACTTTTAATTTTCCTTGCAGTATAGCATAGGGATTTCTGACTTGAAATAACCAAAGAACTCCTCCTTAACGAGACAGTTCAGATTCCTGACTTAGTATTTCTTGACTATCAACTTAAAGAATTGACTTCCTAGTAAAATATTGCACTTATTTTTTTTCCGGAAATGGTTCTGCCTGCATGTATGTGTTGTGTTTTAGCTTCCCCCCACCCCAAAAACTTTTCTTCCTAATGGTTAATGTCTTCAACTCGGTTACTGTTTACTATCAGATGGTTTTTCATTAGTGAATTTAGGCCTCTTTGAGAAAGCTTGTATATAAAAAGTTAACAGATATATTTTATGGAAAAACCCATCTTATTTTCAAATATATTTAACTGCTGTTATATTTTATTAGAGGAAGGTTGTACATATTTTCTAGGAGTTCTATTGTAAAGAAAAGTATTTTTGAAAAAAATTAATGTAATAAAAATGAAAACATTTTTAAATAGTGGTTGTGATTGCTTCCTGTTCTGGCTTCGTTATGTTCTGTTCTCAGCAAATGACTTGCATGCCTTCCATATTAGGATGTAATTTGTTCAGGTTTGCACTAATTATAAGTTGACATCATAAGATCTAGTGTGCTTAACTGTATTTTCCCGGAATGCAGTCCCTTGGTCCATATCAGAGCACTATGTATAACATATTCATAATTTTTCTTTTGTAATGTGTGTATTTTTAATAAGAATTTTATGTAACATTTTGGCAAAAAAGAGGACAGTATTTTCTAGTGAATTTTATAATAACATTTTGCTAAAAAATGTTTCTTCCTAGGTCAGTTTTTGTTAAGGTGAACCAAAAGTCTTATTTTACCAGGGGTTTAAAAAAAAAGTTTGAAGCTTGAAAGAAAAAGTTATATTTAAACATCAACTGTAACAAATAAATAAAGATGTTTTATAGATTTGTCCTAAAAAGGTGCATTCCTTTAAAAAAAAAAAAACTGGGCATTCAAAGCTGTTTATTCCCTCCTGAGTGATAAGCATTATTTTAAAAATTATCATAGTACTTTTTCAGAAAGAAAATCAGGAGAAATTCACTTAACAGGCTTCAGCCATTATCCTTCTCAGAAATTTATTATAGTTCCTATAGATAGGCATTCAACAAATAGAGATGTAACCAAATAGACACTGTCATATTTATTTGTGAAAACCGGATTCAATATTGCATCAGCTGCTCTGAAAATAAAATATTATCTTTTTGAGTTTCATTTGGCTTAAATATTTCTTCTTTCTAGCCAGAGATGACTTCTCAACGTTGGGATGCATGCTAATGTACCTGTTAGTTGGTTTCTGTAGACAACAGGTTTAGGTCCGCTAATCAGATTTAATGTTCACGAATGTCCCCCCGCTCCAGAGGCCAGAACGCACATTTCTGCTACTCAAGCACTGGAAGAGCTGCTTGAAGACTTGGCGGTCTCTAAACCACATTAGTCCAATTGCAATTTAGGGGGACTCAGTATTACATACAGGTGTGGTACAGTAAATCCCCCACAAAGTCTATGTCCACCCTGACTTCTTTGCATTTTAAATCTGCATTTCCAAATTGTAATAAGTATGTTCACTTTTTAATGGTCAACAGAGAACTTTGAAGAAATTAAAAATTCTGGATTTTATACAGAATTTGCTTTAAGTGGGGAATGCCTTTTCAAGACTTTAATCTTGGTTCTTTTGGTTTTTTACTTTAATTTTAGCTTTTTTTTTTTCAGTTGGGCATCATACTCTCACCCAGGCTGGAATGCGGTGGCACAATCATGGCTCACCGCCGCTTCAACCTCCTGAGCTCAGGCGATCCTTCCTCCTCAGTCTCCCAAGTAGCTGGGACTACAGGCACACACCGCCATGCCAGCTACTTTTTGGTTTACTGTAGAGAGGATGTCTCACTATGTTACCTAGACTGATCTTGAACTCCTGGACTCAAGCAATTCTCCCGCCTCAGCCTCCCAAAGTGCTGGGATTACAGGTGTGAGCCACCACACCTGGTCTAGCTATCTATTTTAAACAGACATATATCAAATAAAACAACTATTCCTCTAGAAGCAATGTGTATTTAGCCAGTGCTGTAAATTGAAAGCTTCCAAGGGCCCAGGTGTCCAATGAGAAGACTTTTTTCTACTGTTATATTCATTGTCAATCAGTCCTCATGAGCCACTAGGCACTATTCCATTCTGTATTATACACGAGAGTGGGAGATATACTCATGGCTGTACATGATTCCTTCCTGCCAAGGAATTTAACACCTAGAAAGACATGAAGTCTGGGAACAGATCCAGTTCCACCACTGAGAAGAGAAAAGGCCATGCTTTATTAATATTCGGAATCCCCTCACCGTCACACACACACACACACACACACACACACACACACACACACACCCACACACACACACCCCAACTCATGGCAGGTGCTTGGTAACCATTTGTTAATTACCTCTCCAGTCTTCCAGTCTTGCTTCCGTCTGTGTTTAAGAGAAAGAGAGAGTGTGTGTGTAAATAAAACCTCTTTGGAGTTTACCTAAAGCCAATTCTAAATTCCATTTTCTTCCTGTCTACCATCCTTAGCCATAGTCAGCTGCTGAGATGTGCTCTAGGAATGTGGGTGGGTTTTAAGCAAAACATAATTAAGAAGACATTTTAAGAATTGCATAATATATTCCTAAGTGAATTGTAGATGATCTCTGGATTGCAGATATCACATATGAAAGCGTCAAAGGGCTGTTTCCTTTATGTGAGAAAGGGACTCTTTTGAAAAGGGCTGTCTTTAAAATCAGAACACCAGCCTGGGAAATATAGTGAGATCTCATCTCTACAAAAAAAATCAGAAACTTAGCTGGGCATGATGGCACGTGGGAGGCTGAGGCAGAAGGATGACCTAAGTCCAGCAGGTCGAGGCTGCAGTGGTCGTTAGCGTGCCACTGCACTCCAGCCTGGGCAACAGAGTGAGACTTTGACTCAAAAACAAACAAACAAAAACAGAACAACTGGTGCAATCAAAATATTCTTTACCTTAAAAAATATCTTATATATCTATGTTCATTTTTGCCGGGTATAAGAAGGGTTTACTGTATTAGCTATCTAGCATCATTGGCCTCCTGCTCATCTGCATGAGGTCAGATTTGAAAGTTTAGGCTGTAGGAAAGAGACGTATAGTGGATAGGCAAGTTTCAGAGCATTGTCCATGCCCACACACAATCCCAAAGAGCCCTGTCCACAGCCCTATTGTTGGCAAAACCTGGTTGTGCCCCTGACAGTGACTCCTACTTTGCCCCCAGCTAGTTGGACCAGGTTGGTACCTGCTAAGTTAGGCCCATAGGCTGTTTGGTGATACATGATATGGGTTAGCCTAGGAAGATGAGAGGACCAAATCAAATTCCCACATTTGAGAGTACAAATGGAGAAACTTGGTAAGCCAAAAGCAGCAAGCAGTGGCCACGTGACAAGCAGCGATTTGAGGGAATAGGAACTATTTGTAAGCACACAAAGTCTGTTATTTAAAAGTCCACATTTGGCCTCTAAGGCATAGAGAAGGGAGACAACATCCAGCCCCTAAGACTGCTTTAAGCACACTTTTTCAGTTCCAGGAGCAGCCCAGGCCAAACATGTCTTCAAAAATAGACCTTCTTGTCTTGGTGGAGTGGTGAGTGTCTCTATTCCTTTCAACCAAAAGCGACTTAAATACAACTGTGCCTCATTACAGAATCAGCACCAACCCTGCAGGGGAGAAAATTCATGTCTTTTGGTGAGGATCAGATTAGTTAACTTAAGTGAAAGTCATTTGCAAGCTGTAATGTCAATATCTTTATGGTTGCAGAAAGTTCACCCAACAGAGGCCACCCAGAGGAGACAGAGGCAGACTGAGGAGCCCTCGCATAAGTGTCATTTGGACAGACTGATGAAAACTTTAGAAGCAGCAATAAGGTTAGGCATGGTAGCTCATACCTGTAATCCCAGCACTTTGGGTAGCTGAGGCGGGAGGATTGCTTGAGCCCAGGAGTTCAACTGGACAACATAGTGAGATCTTGTCGCTACAAAAATAAAAAAAAACTTAGCTGGGTATAGTGGTGTGTACCTGTAGTCCCAGCTACTTGGGAGGCCGAAGCTTATCTGAGCTTGCGAAGACGAGACTGCGGTGAGCTACAATCATGCCATGGCATTCCAGCCTGGGTGACAGAGTGAGACCCCAACTTGGGGGGGGGGAAGCAGCAACAAAGTTGGAGTGGGGGGAGAGGAGACTGTTGGAAAACCTTATTGGCTGAGAGACACCATCTTGAATGTCACAATTTAGAGAGAAAGCCTGATTCTGAGAAGGACTTTGGACAGCCTGCCAAGGTAGGGCACAGCCAAGTCCAGCAGAAATGTACACAGATGAAGTGTGTTGCTTCCATATGCTGGCGTAGGACCACACTGGACATCTCTGCCACACCTGCACGTGGACTGAATTCTAGTGAACAGTCAGCCTGAGAAGCAGGAAAACTGGTTTCTGCTACTAGATCTTTCATCAATATGTGAGATGTTGGGCAAAACATTCTTCAGAAGGAAGAGAACCCCTTCCTTGGTTCTCTTGCCTTAGAATAGGGTAATACCTACTTGTGGGTAGAAAACAACAATTGTATATTTACACAATACTTGATTTAGATGCGGCAAAATATACTCATAAACTTAATCTTTTTATTTTTAGACTTCTCAACAACCTTGTGAGACAAGTGAGGTAGAAATGATTTCATGTTATAAATAGTGGATGACAGGTATTGTGTATTACACGGCAGGCATTGTACTGAACATCACACAGCAGTATCTCATTTAATCCTCATAGCGACTACTTGAATAGGAACTATTATTAGCATCTCTATTTGATGTAAGAGAAAAACTGAGGCACGGGTGTGGAAGTAACTTGCCCAAAGTCACTTGGCTAAATAATAAACCTGGGATTAGAAACCAGATATCTAACCAGGCTGGGTGGCTCAGCCTGTAATCCCGTGACTTTGGGAGGCTGAGGTGAGTGGATTGCCTGAGCCCGCCGGTCGAGACCCACCTGGGCAACTTGGCAAGACTTCATCTCTACAATAAATTAAAAAACAAAAACAAAAACTAGCCGGGCGTGGTAGCGCGCGCCTGTAGTTCCAGCTACTGGAAGGCTGAGGCGGAAGGATCGCCGGGGCCCAGCAGGTCCAGGCTGCGGTGGCCGGGAGCGGCTACTGCACTCCAGTCTGGGCGACAGAGTGAGACTGCAACTCAAAAAAGAAAAAAAAACTGAAACCAGATATCTTTATTATAAACCTAGAGTTTCCCATTATGCTAAAGTGCATGTGTGAAAACACTTTGGGAAAATAAAACAGGCATTTGCACATACGGAAGGAAATTTTTATTACAGTAAATCCCACTTATAAGTCATTTTTCTTGGAACAAAATTACAGTGGACTTTAATAACTAGACAAACTACTCTTGGCTTGTAATAGGTGAAGGCAGCCATTGTAAACTCCCAATTACTAGAGTAACATAAGGAAATGGATGATTTAGGAAGATCAGCAGGACACTGGTACACAGGATGGATGGAGCAGGAGAATTCCCACTGGAGTGGGGAAGGAAGGCAGGTTTAAGGAACATAACTGGGAACTGGAGTGGGATATGAACTCACTAGTAGTGGTAGACTTGCCTGTCTTTTAATGAAACACAGATTTTGCTAAGATTTTGAAAACTGCAGAACAGGAATATAAATCAATCGTTATTCCACTACCCAGAGATAACTGCTGTCAAAAACATGTTAGATTTTTTTTCCTCCAAACATGTGTTTTGTTATGTTTGCCTCTAACAAAACCGAAACCACACAGGACAAACATGATTTTTTTTTTTTTTTTTTTTTTTTTTTGAGTTGGAGTCTCACTCGGTCGCCCAGACTGGAGTGCAGCGGCCACTCCCGGCCACCGCAGCCTCGACCTGCTGGGCTCCGGCGATCCTTCCGCCTCAGCCTTCCGAGTAGCCGGAATTAGAGGCATGCGCTACCACGCCCGGCTGATTTTTTGATTTGTTGTAGAGAGGAGGTCTCGCTGCCCAGGCGGGTCTCGAACCGGCGGGCTCAGGCAATCCACTCACCTCAGCCTCCCAAAGGCGCGGGATTACAGGCTGAGCCACCGAGCCCGGCGACAAACACGATTTGAAGGGGGAAACATTGATGGGACTTGGTAACTATTGAGGTACGGGATGAAGCAATTTTGTCAAGACAGGGAGTTGGCCATGCGCCGACCGCACCCTCCACAAGCAAGCACTCCCGTCTCTATGGTTGCTCTGTGCCGGAACATGAGGAGGCACTCGCTCCTCTTGCCGAACTCTATGGTCTGAGACCGCCGCGTGACCCCGGAAGCAATCTGTGGGTTCGGGACGGCAAGATGGCGGTGCGGACCGCGTTCGGGGCTGTATACCGGCGCCTCTGGCAGGTACCGGGCGTGCTGGGGAGACTGGGCGGGTCGACGGGGACAATTGCTACCAAATCTCGCTGCCACCCGCTGTTCTGCCCCTCAGGAGTCCTCCCGATATTTGCTCTTCACCTTGGGTCTTTTACAGGAAGGTGACGAGAAAGGGACTGGTTTTCTGTAGAGTTCTTTCATGAGGTTAAACATAAGTGAATGAATCAGGGCAAAGATAAGAACAAGAAGAGTCGTAGAATGTCAGAGCTGGAAAGGATTTTGAATTTCGTGTGGTCCAAAACCCCTGTCTTCACGTTTGCAAAATGAACTGAGTCTCAGAGAAGGCAGGACACTTGCCTCGCGAAAATTAGGGGCTGAGTTTGCTCAAGATGTCAGACACTTCCAGTAGAACATATTTGAATGCCCTCCTGACATCCAAGGATTGTGAGATTTAGGTGATGGTCTCTGAAGACAGAGGAGTGTGGGTCCGCCATCCTCTGCGCGGTTCTTTAGAGGAGAAGCAAAAGCTTAGGCAGCTGTTCTCAAGCTTTTTGGACTCGAGACCACTTTACATTTGGCGTCGAGGATTCCAAGGAGCTTTTGTTTTTGTAAATTTTAACTATCTGTATTTAGCTTTTTAGGAAATAAAGCTGAGAATCCTAAATGCACTTATTATAAGTAACACCAATAAAGTCATTACATGTTCACGAAGTTAACATTTTGTGAAAAATCACAAGTTTCTAAAACAAATTTAGTGAGGATTGTCAGTGTGTTCGCTTTTTGTAAATCTCTTTAATGTATGGCTTAATAGAAAGTAGCCAGATTGTCATATCCGTTTTTTCATTCAGTCTCCTGCTATGGCATACCTCAAGCTGCCACGGGAAAACGTCTCTGAACACTGTGAGAGTGGAAAAGTGGTCAATAACGTCTTAGTATTATTATGAAAATAGTTTGGATTCCGACCCTTTGAAAATGTCTCGAGAATTTCCAGAGGTCCTCAGACCACACTTTGAGAACCACTGTTCTTTTTTTTTTTTTTTTAGTTTAGAAAATATAGCTTATTTGGAAAGTAAATGAGAGAGAAAGAGATAGAAGATTCACCTCTCCTAGAAAAGCTTAGGAAAACATACTTGACCATAGTTCAAAGAAGACATGGCCAGACCAGAGCTGAGTAAAGCAATGACCGAGAACCATTGTTCTTAAGATAATCAGGTAGTGTCGTTGGTCGAAATTTTTGAACTACTGTATTAAGACAGACTTACCTAGACAACCCCCCTTTCCAACCGCCCCACACACACACACCCTCAAAATATTAAAATATAAGATGCCAGCTTTTCAAAGCAGGTTTGTAGAGGGAAGAGCATGACTGGTAAATGTCGTATTCCTTAGACCTGTGCTCCTTATGCACTACTGGATTGTGATGTGACTGGCATAAATGTGAAGAGGGAATTTTCTGTGTGATTATGTGTGAACAATGGCATATATCTTTTACCCTCCTGTATTGTGCCTCATCTTGTATTGTGCCTGTTTTCTTTTTCCCCCTTGATCCATGAAAGAATATGGGAAGTTTTGATTTGTTTCCATCTTGGGTAAAGGGAAGAAGACAATAAACTAAGAATAGGCTTTTAAAACATATTCAAGTGACTATCAGTTGTTTTAATTAAACTTACGCTGAACTGTTATTTTCATCCTCATTGTGTTTTTGAGGTTCCTGTTATGCTTCCACTTTCTCAGGTTACATTTTCTTTTTTTTTTTTTTTTTTTTGAGTTGGAGTCTCACTCCTTCATCCAGGCTGGAGTGCTAGTGGCACGCACACTCATGGCCACCCCAGCATTGAACTTCTGGGCTCCAGTGATCCTTTGGTCTCAACTTTCCAAGTAGCCAGAACTATAGATGTGCGCTACCAAACCCGGCTATTTTTAATTTTTTATTGTAGAGACGAGGTCTCACCAAGTTGCCCAGGCTGGTTTTGAACCCATGGACTGAGGCAATCCACTCACCTTGGCCTCCCAGAGTGCTGGGATTACAGGCTGAGCCACCAAAACCAGCCGGTTACATTTTCAAATCTCAAGAAAGTTTATTGTTAATTTTTTTTTTTTTTTGAGTTGGAGTCTCACTCTGTCGCCCAGACTGGAGTGCAGTGGCCGCTCCTGGCCACCGC